GTCGGTTATGTCATTACCCGATGTAGAAAGTACTTTCTACGTCGGTTAATGACATAACCAACGTAGAAAGTGTAACATTTTATGTCGATTCTCTGACTAACCGACGTAGAAAGTCTTTCTATGACCGATCAGAACCAGTTACTTTCTACGTCGGTTATTAGGAACCGACGTAGAAAGTCTTACTTTCTATGACCCCCGTATCTATGTCGCCGCTTTAACCGACGTAGAAAACTCATTTTAACCGATGTAAAAAGCCTTTTTTGCAGTAGTGATTATTTTTTAGTTTTTCCATATACACAGAAGTGTGGTTCCAGAAAATTTGGATTTAGCAACAACGTATACCTCAAAACTACAAAAGGTCATAATAGCATGTAACTTGTGAACTATAACATTTTTTTGTCGAATTTTTAAGGAAATTTATAAAGAAGAAACAATATTAATAAGATATAAATTCAAATTATAAAAAATTAAAACCACTTTTAACGTAGAACAAATATTAAGTTATAAGTTTTTATTTTTTATATATTACTTAATTTTCTCCTTTTTTTTATTCAAGACTTAGATTTACACTTAAATTTTTCAAATCTTTCTAATTAGTTTTCATAGAAATTTATGGTGTTATCTTGTTTTATTTTAAATGATTTTAATATGATGTATTATTTTAAGTTATTATTACAAGTTTTATTCATCAAACCTTCTCCCAGAGTGAGATTTTTCATCAAAGACAGATTTTTAATCATAAATCATATGTTAAAAATTCTTATAGTGATCATAATTCAAATTGGTGGTTTCATTTCAGAGGCTTAATTGATATATAGATAAATTGACTTCATCAAAAAATTATATTAACTTATACCAATATTGGGTTATACATGGGTGTATTAATAAGTAAAATTGAAATTAATTTTAGTCATAGCTGATACCCATTCAAAATTTTGAACTTATTCACTTTTTCTTTCTATTTGATTATTCTCCCCTTTCCGTTGTTATTGAAGCTGCCAACTATAAAATTTGAGGAGGAATTCTTTCTGCAGCAGCGGGTCCAAATTCAGCTACCAGATTAGAGAAATAGTTGGTGTCCATTAGTCATCAAGGCTCATCATGTTCCACCACTTCTCCTTTGGAAAGTGTATACATGAAAATAATAAAATTTTTATATACACATATTTTTATTTGACTCGAAGTTTAGTAATATAAATCTCAACCCTTTATTTAATTTATTTTTATTATTACTATTATTAAGAATAATAAGATACTACTATCATTCAGTTACTATTGTTAAGAATAATAGTAAAATTTATAATGATAATAATAATAATACAATGATGGTACTAAATAAAAATAGAGGTGATGATTATGATATTAGATAACAATATATTAAAATAAAGAGTGGAGAAATATACACTACAACAAAAACATCAAATAGTGATCGAATTTTCGGTCATTAAATGATTAAAATCGGTCAATATTTTCTTGATCGCTGATTTCAATGACCGATTGAGTCAATCACTATATCTGATCACTAACAAAAACATTAAAAAATTAAGAATATTTTTTTATTATTTATTATATTTTTTAGAAATTTAAATTATTATTAGATTAAGAGAATAGTCATCTGGTAGGGTTCAACCACTAAGCTACTAGAAATTTTTGATAATAGTTTATAAATAAATTATATTTATATACAAATAAAAATATATATTCGTGTAAATATATAAATATAAAATATATAAATACAAATACAAATATATATATATATGTTGGATGTGAGGGCGCTCGAGGTGAAAGTATGTGTCGAGTGGATTTTTAAAATTTGATGTCAAATTTGTGAGTGAGTCTCTTTATATGAGTTTATAATTTAATGACACGATATAATCTTTATAATTTATTTATATAATGATATAAAATAATTTTTTTCTTTATTTATTTTTATTTTATTTTAATTTATTCTTCTTATATTTTTTTCTTCTATTATTTAATTAAAATTCTTATATTAAAATAATTTTTTCAATATTAAAAATAATTAAATATTTATTTTTAAAATTATTTAATTTAACAAATTATTATAAATTAATCTAATTATGATTATTAATAGAACAATTTTTTCCTAACATATATTATTATAAATTAATCAAAATCATCTTTTAATAATTATTTTTTCCAGACATAGATTAATTCATAATAATTTGTTAAATTAAATAATTTTAAAAAATAATTTTGAAAATAAATATTTAATTATTTTTAATAATGAAAAAAATTATTTTAATATAAGAATTTTAATTAAATAATAGAAGAAAAAAAAGATAAAAAGAATAAATTAAAATAAAATAAAAATAAATAAAGAAAACAATTATTTTATATCATTATATAAATAAATTATAAAGATTATATTCTATCATTATATTACAAATCCATATAAAGAGACTCGCTCACAAATTTGACATCAAATTTTGAAAACTCACTCGACACACACTTTCACCCTCTAGCGTGATCCTCACATCGAACATATAAATATATCAAAATATATAAATATATTTGTATTTATATATTTTATATTTATATATTTACACTGGATATACATTTATTTGTATATAAATATAATTTATTTGTAAATTTTTATTAAAAAATTCTAACAGTTTAATGGTTGGAGTATTAGTATCTAACTCTAATGTACTGGTTTTGAATCTTATTAGTAATAATTTTCTTAATTTGATAAAAAAAATTGTTAATAAGAGAAATTATATATTTTTGTGGAAATTAGGACAACTAAATTGTTGTTATGGACTAAAACCCAAAAAGTAAAAAATAAAAAATATAATTAAATAAAAGAAAAACTATATACTTTTGCATTTTATTTTCAAATATTAGTTTTTTTATGAAATTATTTCTAATTAAAATAATTAAAGTGATATATATATATATATATATATATATATTTTTATTTTTTTAATTTTAATTTATTAATATTATCAAATTTTAGCTTCATGATTAAAAAAATACCAATAATTTAAATTTTATTAATTCTATAATTTTATATAATTATTATTATAAATTTAATTCTCCAATAACTAATAATATTAACACATTTATTAAATTAAAATTCTTTATTTTAATTAATTATTTTGATTTTTTTAACAATTTTTTTAAATAAAAACGATAAAACTTAAAATTAATTTCTAACTAAATCTTCACATATTTATGGTTAATAGTATATTATATTATTATGTTTAATTAAATTTTAAAATAAGTTCACTTAATCTTTACACTTTTATAAAAATATTAATATAAACTTAAAATATTTATCCAATTACTAAATTATTTAAAATATTAATATAAATTTGAAATATCAATTCAATAAATAAAATAATTTTAATTTTTTTATAAATACATTGAAATACATTTTTATTAACATAAAAGTAATATATATATATATATATATATATATATATATCAAAAAGAGACTAAATTAATAATTAATTTAATCATTGATTATATATATATAAAAGAGACTAAATTAAAAATTACTTTAATGATCGAATCTAGTGACTAATTTAATAATTAATTTTAATTTTTTTATTCACATACTAAATTAAAAAATAAAATCAAATAATTATATTACCAAATTATTTAATAAGTTAATAAACTATTTTTTAAAATTTTTATAATGTTATTAAAAATTTTATCAATTATTTTAAATTATTAAGTAGATTTATATTTAATATATTATTAAAATATTTTTTAAAAATATTTATATAAATAAAAAATGGTCACTAATTTATATATTATTTGTTTAATGACTGAAATTTTAGTCACTAAATCAGTCATTATATATAAAAAGAGAAATCGATCACTGATTCGAGTCACTATTAGTAACTCGAATTTTTCGATCACTAATTTCGATCACTATTAACCATTTTTCTAGTAGTGACCGAATCAGTGATCGATTTGGTGACCGAATCAGTGACCGATTTCCGTGATCTGAAATTTTAGTCACTAAATCACTAAATATAAACGAAATCAGCCATCGATTCAGTTACTATCGATGACTCAATTTTTCTGTTACTAATTTCGGTCACTATTAACCATTTTTCTAGTAATGATATATTAGCCTTTGAAATAAATAAAAGTATATGAATAATTATGTTTTTATTAGTATTTCATTAAACTATTTTTTTTTAAGTAAATTCAAAGTTGAATCCTAAATCATGCAACCAAATCAATAAATATATATACTTGAGAATGTTAGGTGGAAAAATATGTCATATGAGAACAAACTTTATCTCATCTAAAAACTAAAGGAAGTAAACTCAGAAAAAAGACATTTAAGTTCGAAATTGTACCTATCAAGTTCAATTATGAAGTTATGATGTCCTTTTACGTGGACAAAAAAAAATGGATAAGATGGGTCAGAAAAACGAGATGAAAATTTGATACTTTATGATGTCTGAGATAACTGAATTGCAGTATATTTTGTAATCATATCATTGGCAGAAAATATGGTGCAAAGAAGGTAAATGTGCATCTTAGTGATGAATCTCAACAGTGTGTGTACATGTCTATATTTATGCTTAGAAACTTCATCTACTATTTTTAAATTATTTCATTTCTTGTATTTAAAATATGTATAGCTGGTTTACTTTTTCCTTAGTCCAAGAAACTTGGAACTGAATCAACTTTGGCAAAGAATTGCAACCGTCATTGTTAGTTCAATCAGTAGTTTGTTCAAATACAGTATTGTCTTGTTTCAGAGATTTTAACTTGGACTGAGTTTCACTTTTCTTGTAACAAAATTTCAGAGTCACTAATGTGCTTATTCTACTGTTACTAATTAAAAATCATTCCAAGAAAGAAATATGTTGAAAGCATCCACACACTTCTAATCAGATAAAAAAAGTGTAGGAAAAACTACTGAATAAAAGTATCCATACCCTTCTAAAATTTCAATTATTCAATTTTCCGATCCAATTCTCAGCTGAAATTGTTAATGTCTGCTGTAAATTTCAGGAGGAATTCTTGCTGCAGCTTGCCCAATATTCAGCTACCAGCTTAGAGAATGAAGAGTTGGTGTCCATTAGTCTTGAAGGCTTATCATATTCCACCACTTTCCCTTTATATATAAGATAACTAATTGATCAGTGAACTAGAGTAGAGAAGTAGTATATCCTAAAAGGAGAGAAAAAAAGAAAGAATGAAAGAACCTACCAAAGGAGAGGACCATAACCATGTCACTGTCTATTACAGTTGGAACCCTGTGAGCCACTGTTATAACTGTGCATTCTGCAAATTCTTCTCTAATAATTCTCTGTAGAATAGCATCTGTGGCAGAGTCAATGGAGGCAGTTGCTTCATCCAGAACAAGAATTCTGTTCCTCTTAAGCAGCACTCTTCCTAGACATATGAGTTGGCGCTGCCCCACACTCCAGTTTTCTCCTTCGTCACTCACTGTTATATTGTTCTCAATTAGACTTCAACAGCTACTTTGTTCCAAAATCTTAATTTATGAATTAAATACTTTAGATTATAAGTGCAACTTATTGAAAGTTCAAATATTATGTGTATCCCTCCTAACTTTAAACATGAAAATCTGCAATAGATTGTTGCCGCTGAAAGAATTGGCCAGAAAATACCAATATCAGATTTGTAAGTATTTGAAGTTAACTCACCCAAAGAGTCTAAGAGATTTGGTAGATGGCTCACAGTTTCCTTAAGCTGACATTTCTCTAAAGCCTATATACAAATGAAACATAATCAAACGTGTCCTTAATGAAAAGATCATGTAGAACATAAAGTTATTTAAGATAACATTCTCTAACAGCAGATTTAGTCCATTCACCTTCCATATATCATCATCTGAGTACAGGCCTAAAGGGTCCAAGTTGGTTCTAATGCTGCCCTTGAAAAGAGTTGGTTCTTGAGGGATGATGCTTAGCTTCATTCTCAAATCCTTCAACCCCATTGAGCATATGTTAATCCCATCTATAAGAATATCACCTCTTGCTGGCTCAACTAGGCGAAACAAAGCACTTATGAGTGTACTTTTTCCACTTCCGGTTCTTCCTACAACTCCCACTCTACTCCCTTCTCTAAACGTACAAGTGATACCCTCAAGCACTAATGGAGCATTAGGACGATACCTAATCTGAGATCAATGTAGAGAAAATGACCATCAGAGAAAAATATATGTCTATCCAATTGACAGTCTCAAAATAAAGGAAAAAGTTTGAAAGAGAAGAATGAAACTTTACCTCTAAGGCTTGAAGGTCAATCCTGCCTTTGGAAGGCCATGACGATGGAGGTCGGTGGTCCTTCACAATGGCAGGAGGCTCTGATGGTAGGTGAATGAATTGCTTGATTCTTTCAACAGAGATAATATAGTTCAATAAGTTGCAATACCATCGAGTAAAAAATATATGGGTTCCTGCTAAGGTGAGAGCATAAGAGAGAGACAGTCCCACAAGGCCTGCACAATGCAAGCGAATTGCATAGAATTGAGGTTGTTAATAGCATCCATACGGCATTGCCTTCGTAATAACTCTTTCATGTAATATTATTACCTGGGGATACGTATCCCTGAGGAGCTAGAACAAGCAACAAAGCTGAAGTTATTACTGTCAAACTTTGAAGTATTTCGATCCTTAAAGTCAACCATTCCATGGCCACATTAGAATGAAAGAACAGTGTTGCGTCGGTGTTTACAAGTTTTACGTAATTCTTTAAAAATTTGTCTGCCATGTTAAATGCTCTTACAGTAGCCACACCATCTGATGTCTCAGCTGCAAAATTCATCACAGGAGCTTTTGTGGTTCCATTGATCCTTATTAATTCCCTTGCGGAGGGTTGATAATACCCCTTTTAAGGAAATAGGGAGATTAAGAAATTGTTAGCTGTATGAACTAAGAAGGGACAAAATATAGAAAACCAGGAAAAACTAGAAAATGGATAAACCTGAACATATTTTGATGCAACCATTGCTGGAACAGCAACAATGAGAACTTGCCATGTTACGAAAACCATTATACAAATTATCACCAAAATTTCAATAGGAACAGATGCTACAAAAGTGATGGCGAAAGGTATATCAAAGTCCAAAATACTTAAATCTGATGAAGCCTGCAAGAGAGAAAAAATTATCCAAATTTTGAACATGATTAACTACTAATGACTCAAAAAATTCATGTTTTCTTTTCTAGTGTGATTGAAATCTTACTCGGGTTAAAATCCTTCCAACTGGGGTCGAATCAAAGAACAACATAGGAGCATTGAAAATAGAAGTAGTGAAACTTGAGAAGAATGCTGTAGAACCTTTTAATCCGAGCTGTGCACCAACCAGAGTCCTTAGAAATGCAAATGCAGTTCCCAAAAATGAAATTAATGAGTAAACCCCAATTAGCGTGGCACTAGTTAAATTTGGAAGTTCAATGGCTAGAGCAAGCCAAAACGTTGATGCAGTCTGCAAAACAACAAAAACAAGTTGTACCAATATCATCCAACACAGCATCAACGAACACCCGGAAAATGAAATATAATCCCAGAATGTCTTCCACCCAACATCACCAATCTCTTTTTCTTCTTCTTGTGTAAGTTGTATACCATGTTGATCCTCAGTAGAAATCTCCCCCTCGCTTTGATTTTTAGTAAGATAAAAACCTTGAGACTCTTCTCTACGAGTTTTGTTTTCATTATTTTGATCCCATTCAGTAATTGCTTCCTTATGAGCGTTCACAAGTTGCTCAAAGGCTGTCCCAGCAGTTAAGAGATTCTCATAATTACCTGATTGAGTAACTTTTCCACCTTCCATCACCTGGAATTTTAGTCATAACTTACCATGTTAGTTATATACGAATGTAATGTAATGGGCATCCATATATGAGATACTTTACCAGGATTGTATCAACTTCTGATAGAAACTCCACTTGATGGGTCACTAGGATGACTGTTTTCTCTCTTAGAGCAGTCATTATACAATCCTGTAAGAATATAAATGCAACTGGCTTAGGTCACTGAAGTGATGGTAAGAGTTTCAATAAAATTAAGAATATAAAAGTTGTAGCTTCTAAGTTCTTACATTGAACAGAATTGCGGCCGTATGAGCATCAACTGCACTGAAAGGGTCGTCGAGGAGATAAATGTCAGCATCATTGTAGACTGCACGAGCTAGTTGAATCCTTTGCTTTTGTCCTCCACTCATGTTAATCCCTCGCTGACCTATTTCTGTAAGATCACCATGGCTAAAATCGTTGATATCCTTATCTAAAGCACAAACTTTGATGGCACTCTCATATCTAGTTTTCTTCATTGGCTTGCCGAAGAGTATATTCTCTCGAACTGTTCCGCTTTGTATCCAAGAAGTTTGAGAAACATATGCTATGGTGCCACACACATTAACCTGTTTTCCATTGTTGTGAAATTTCATGGAGAAAGAAGAGTTAGATATCTAAATTATAAAAATGAATTGGTATGAAAAAAGTTGTACTATTTTGGGTACAAACTCACAGATCCTGAAATCTTCGGAATCTCTCCTAGTACCGCATACAGAAGTGATGATTTCCCAGCTCCAACTGGCCCACAGATCGCAACCTTCTGTCCCCGTTTGATTGCTAGATTGACATCTTTTAAAGTTGGGGACACTGCTTCATGATCCCAAATGAAGTTGCCAGCTTGGATTTCTACCGCACTAATTGAACTTCGGTTTATATATCTTTTGTTGCCATCACTACTCTCTAGTTCTTCATCAAGTAAAATGGTATTGAGACGATCAAAGGATACCTTAACTTGGATCATAATAGATAGAGCCTCTGGAATCATTCGAACAGGTTCTGACAAGTTCTTCAACGTTGCAAGAACTGTAAAAATGGTCCCAGCATTCAATGGAGCACTATTGAAAACAGCACAACCGAGGAAAACAACAGCAGAAACGATGGTAGGAGATATCCAATATAGAAATGTCCCATAAGCTTTCATGATTTGTGCCTTAGATAACCAAATGAACTCTTTAGCACGTAGGTTCTCGACCAAACTCTTGAATTTGTCATCCCAGGACTGTAACTTAATGATTTTAATGCTATTTAGAATTTCTGAAGTTGTTCTAAGACGTTCATCCTGTGAAATCATGAACTGTGCCATGCACTTCTGTAGGATCTTGGCAAATGGTACATTGATAAGTCCACATATAAAAAGAGGGACTAAACCAGGAAGAGCACCAACTCCCACAACTTCGAAAAGAATCCCAATAGACAGAACAAGTTGCAATGTAGATGACCATGTCGTATGAAACCACCATGGAAATTCTCCCATGCGATATGCATCAACCGCAATGTAATTCACTATTTCACCTGTTGAGTGTCTTGTCCTTGCTGAGTTTGAAAGCTTTAGCTGTTTTTTATACACTGCCACCATCAGAGCTGATCTCATCTTCAATCCCGACCTCCTGGAATAAAAAAACAAATGTCTCTGGGACACAAAAGCAACCACATTAGAGACGACAAGAACACCCACAATGAAAAGACCCTCTTTGAGATCCGTATCCGTGGCATTCCTGTTATTTGAGTAGTTGACGAAAACAAAGAGTATTAAGGGAGATATACTCACGGCAATGGTTCTGATTAATGCGTATAAAGCTATTGATATGTTCTCATTTAAGTGAGTTCTAACAACAGACCAAAGAACCAAGTTTTTGTTATTGTTATTGTTCCCTGCCCTCACAAAGTATTCATTCCATGCATGTATAAAGTTTTGGTAGGCCGAGTCTGCTTCATCTTCAGATAGAAGGGAAGGGATGTCTTCAAGAGCTAGTGGCTTTGAGTAACCCAGTTTGAGTAAGGGATTAACCCAAGAGAAAGTCAACTTGCTGAGAATAGAAGCACGGCCAAGTCCTGTTCGTTGTGTGTCAACATCCTGGGCTAACAGTGGCTCAGACAAACATTTTGGCACGCGTTGAGTGACAAAGTAACCAAGGTTTTGGAAAGCACAGAAGAGAAGAAGCAAGTGTAAGAGCCATTGTAGAACATCAAAAATTTCTATTGCATGCTTTCTATACAAAATTTCAATGTTGAGAGCTGAAACCAGTACACAGGAACATGCCCACCAGAGAGAGTTCAGAATTTTGATCCATTTGTGTGTCTGAACAAGCAGAGAAACTGTGAAAGAAGTCCAAACAAATCCTCTGACAATGGAAGGTACCCAGGAGTTACCAGTTTTGTCTATGAGATTCCACAAGCCAATAACGTACAATGCAATGCTAATAATAGCACAGCAGATAGAAACAACAAGGAAAGTCCAGGTTTTTCTTGGACTTCCACACATTGAACTTCTTCTGATTAGACAGGTAATCATATACGTGTAGAATACACAGATAAAAAGTAGATTTATAGCGTCTATTATGGTGTTTTGAGAGCAGAAAGAAGTTAAATTGAAATCCTTGAGACAAAGGCGTGAGAAATCAGCTGCATATTCATCAAAGAAGATCATCATCAAAGATTGATCAATTTTTCCACACGCAACAATTCGATCTTGGAAATATTAATAAGAAATTGTCTATATGAATATCCATAATCAAAGCCAACTTCCTGAAAAACTAGGCAAGAGATATTTATTTCATTGATGACAAAGAGGCAAAGAATCCATTTTGAATTACATGAAAAAGGGTGCTTTCAAAATCTCTTTATTGCATGTAAGTTGAGAAGGAGTGTCCTGTGACATAAATGGTGCAGAAAAACCAGAAATGATTACTCATATTATGCAAAAGTAGATTGTAGTACTAGAATAACATAAGCATACCTATTGTTTTCTGAAAATAAGCCATTTTTGGAGCTTGAATAGTTTGGTTTAGCACTGTAATTATTGGGCTTCTAAAAATCTATGCTGGCTTAAAAAATTATTGCACATATATATGTATAACCATTTTAGTGGAGTCATGCTCTTATTATCAACATCAATGCTAACAATATTTATTACTGTGTCCCCACGTGTTCTCCTCAATATCAATACTTCTGCAACTACTTTTCTCTGCTGAACATGGTTTTAGTCAACTTTGAATTCGTAATTAATTATGATTCTTTAAAATATATCTTGCCAATATATTTTCGACCCGCTTTCTTATTCTTGTCTCCAAAAAATTAATTGTTTCTCAATATTTTAGGGTTTGAGTTTATAAATTAAATAGGAAAAAGATAAAGAATCACAATTTATTTATTAACATTGAAATTAAAATTTTAGAATAAAGATATTATATGGATAAGATTTGCCATAAGTTGCATTTATTTGATCCACCAAAACTTACTTTATATATACCAGAAAAAAAAATTTAAGCATTCAATGTAGAAGGAAAATAAGAATATAAGATGGTTGGTTAATATAATATTTAATTATGTGCCCTTTTTAGGTAAACATTAAATGCATGTAGTTGAGAGGTAGTGGTTATAGAGGTAGTTGTTGTATTGAATGTATGTAGTTGAAATGTAGTAGTTGTATTAAATGAATGTAGTTGAGAGGCCATATCCAAAGGGCCTATAAATTGACCATGCATCACTTATTGCAAACATATCAAGTGATAATATACAGAGTGTTTTATTTAGATACTTGTTTGTCTACAAATTGGTATCAGAGCTTGAGAGTCTGAGTGTCTGAGTGTGTTAGAGAGAGTGTTTGAGAGTTAGAGAGTTTGTTTGAGATGACCAACTTAGCTAACAGCATGCCCCTACTAAAGTTATCAAAAGGCGTAAGCTATGATAACTGGAGCCTGCAAATGAAAGCTCTCCTTGGTTCCCAAGAAGTATGGGATGTGGTCGAAAATGGGCACCAAGAACCAGAGAATATTGAAGAGCAGACGATTGCTCAGCTTGCTGCATTGAGAGCAACACGAGTAAAGGACAAAACGGCTTTGTACATACTATACCGAGTTGTTGATGAGTCCGGCTTTGAGAAGATAGCAAATGCTAAATCTTCAAAAGAAGCGTGGGATATTCTGGAGAAGGCATATAAAGGGGATAATCACGTGAAGCAAGTCAGGCTTCAAACTCTTAGAGACGAGCTTGAAAGCATGAGGATGAAAGAGGTCGAAAGGGTTGCCGAGTACATCTCCCGTGTTGAGACCGTGGTCGTGTTGAGACCGTGGTCGTGTTGAGACCGTGGTGAATCAACTCGGAAGAAATGGAGAGACGCTGCCCACTTGCCGAGTGGTGGAGAAAATCTTAAGGTCGTTAACTGACGATTTTGAGAATATCGTTTGTGCAATAGAAGAGTCCAAAGACTTGTCGGTGCTCTCGGTGGAAGAGCTTGCCGGGTCGCTTGAAGCGCATGAGCAGCGGAGAAGGAAGAAGAAAGAGGAGTCCCTTGATCAAACACTCCAAGCAAAGGCAACCTTAAAGGAGAAGAAGGTTCCTTATGCTCAGAACACTCAAGGCCGAGGTGGTAGAGACAGAGGAGAATATGAAAGAGGCAAGGAGCCAGTCAGTCAACAAAACTGGCGTGGCCGAAGACAAGGTAGAGGTCGTGACGGTAAAGGCCGAGGTGGTCAGTCAAGCAATTCCGGAGTTGAGTGCTTCAAATGTGGGAAGTACGGTCATTTTGCTAAGGACTGTTATTCAGGAAGTTCGGATATCGAGCTAAGTCCGAGCTGTTCTGACAACTCGGTTTGGTATCTTGATACAGGAGCAAGTAACCACATGTGCGGGGACGAAAACCTTTTTAAGGAGCTCACTAAAGTTGAGGTCGGACACGTGTCATTTGGAGATGCATCAAAGGTGGCGAGGTAAAAGTGCGAGTAGGTACAATCCGTGTACTCGCAGTGAAGAATACTCTGGCTTCGATGAAAGACCGAGTACTATACCCGAAGGACAAGTCGGATCGTTTGATTGCCCGAGTAGAAATGAAGAAGAACATAATGTACAAGTTGGACTTGAAGATAGTCCAAGAGAGGTGTTTGAAACTTGACGTGAAGGATGAAGCAATGATGTGGCACTTTCGATTTGGCCACTTGCATTTTGGCGGACTGACCGAGTTGGTAAAGAAAGAGATGGTGCGAGGACTCCCGTCTATGAAATTTGAAAAGAAATTATGTGAAGAGTGTGTGCTCGGGAAGCATCCGAGGACCTTATTTCCGAGGACGGCCGAGTACCGTGCAAAGAAACAACTCGAATTGATTCACACAGATATTTGTGGACCGATTACCCCTGAGTCCTTCAGTGGGAAAAGGTATTTCATTTCTTTTATAGATGATTTTTCAAGAAAAACCTGGGTATATTTTTTGAAGGAGAAATCTGAGGTGTTTGAGGTGTTCAAGAGATTTAAAGCAATGGTTGAGAAAGAGACTGGCATGCCTATCAAATCTGTTAGGTCTGATCGAGGAGGTGAGTTCATTTCATCCGAACTCATGAAGTATTGCAAGGAGCAAGGGATAAGGAGATTTCTGACAGCACCATACTCACCCCAACAAAACGGAGTTGCCGAGAGGAAGAATCAAACCATTCTTGACATGGTTCGAACAATGTTAAGAAGCAAAAACGTGTCAAAGGAGTTCTGGGCAGAAGCAGTGCAATGTGTCATCTATGTGCAAAATAGATGTCCACATGCTAAGCTGAACGAGAAGACACCGCAAGAAGTTTGGAGTGGAAGAAAACTGAGTGTGTCTCACCTTAAAGTGTTTGGTAGCATAGCTTATGGTCATGTTCCAGCTCAACAGAGGACTAAGCTCGAAGATAGAAGCAAAAAGTACGTGTTTATTGGGTATGATGAAAAAACCAAGGCGTACAGGTTGTTTAACCCAATAACTAAGAAGGTCATCATGAGCCGAGATGTTCAAATTGATGAAGAAAGCGAGTGGAGTTGGAACAACCCAGAGAAGGAGTCCATAGGAAGTAGAAGCTCGGAAGTTGATACACCACATACTGTGAGAGATCATGAGACTTCTGATGAAGAAGATGAACCTCTACAGCCCAGAGCGCGAAGTTTACAAGATATATACAACTCCACTGACGAAGTGCATGTTGTATGTCTCTTGGCAGATTCAGAAGACTTAAGTTTTGAAGAGGCCGTGCAGGAGAAAAGGTGGAGAAAGGCAATGGACGAGGAGATCGGAGCAATAGAACGCAACAACACATGGGAGCTAACTGATTTGCCCAAAGGAGCACGACCTATCGGCGTAAAGTGGGTGTACAAGAAGAAGACAAATGCTGAAGGAGAAGTTGAACGATATAAAGTTCGACTCGTAGTGAAGGGGTACAAGCAGAAAGAAGGAATAGACTATGATGAAGTATTTGCCCCAGTGACGAGAATGGAAACAATTAGGTTGCTGATTTCCTTAGCAGCTCAACACAGATGGACAATCTTGCAGATGGACGTGAAGTCGGCATTTCTGAATGGAATCTTGGAGGAGGAAGTATATGTTGAACAACCACTCGGATACATGCGAAGAGGAGAAGAGAAGAAAGTGTTGAGATTGAAGAAGGCACTTTATGGCTTGAAACAAGCTCCACGAGCATGGAATGAAAGAATTGACACTTACTTCAAAAGGAATGGATATGAGCAGTGTCCTTATGAACATGCTCTATACATAAAGAAGAAAGGAGAAGATGTGATGTTTGTTGCCCTATATGTTGATGATCTTATCTTCATGAGGAATAATGCCGAGCTAATTGAAGAGTTTAAAGAAGTGATGAAGAAGGAGTTTGAGATGACCGACTTGGGTCTTATGAAGTATTTTCTTGGCTTAGAAGTTGTTCAGTGGAAAGGATGACATCTTTGTGTCGCAGAAAGGTATGCCGAGGAGATCTTGAAGAAGTTTAAGATGACAAGTTGCAACCCGGTTTCCACCCCTATGGAACCCGGTACAAAACTTTCTAAGTATGCAGATGGAGACCGAGTTGATGCGAGCAAATACCGAAGTCTCGATTGGAAGTCTTAGGTATCTTACAAATACCGCACTGCATTTAATGCTAAGTGTTGGAATAGCAAGTCGATATATGGAGGAGTCAAGGTATACTCATTGGAAGGCACTAAAGAGAATTCTAAGGTATGTGAGAGGAACAAGTGTCACTTGGTCTAATGTATATTAGGATCGGATGATTATCGACTAGTAGGCTACTCTGATAGTGACTGGTGTGGAGATGTTGATGACCGAAAAGCACGTCTGGATATGTATTCTTCATGGGAAACACAACATTCACCTGACTTTCAAAAAAGCAGCCCATTGTAACGTTGTCAACTTGTGAAGCCGAGTACGCTGCAAGCATCCTCGGAGTGTCTGTCATGCAGTTTGGCTTAGAAACCTTCTAAGCAAGCTGGAGTTGAAGCAAGAAAGAGGGACTGTGATTCGAGTTGATAACAAGTCGGTCATTGAATTGGCAAAGAATCCGGTCAATCATGAGAGAAGCAAACATATTGATGTTCGGTTTCACTTCATCCGAAAACAAGTGAAAGAAGGAAATGTGGAGTTAGAGCATGTCGGAACCCGAACACAAACTGCAGATATGTTCAAGAAGTCACTGTCAACCACTCTGTTCGAGAACAACAAGAAGATGCTTGGAATGAAGGACAAGAAAATCATTTAAGTTTATGGGGGGATTTTGTTAGGTAAACATTAAATGCATGTAGTTGATAGGTAGTGGTTATAGAGATAGTTGTTGTATTGAATGTATATAGTTGAAAGGTAGTAGTTGTATTAAATGAATGTAGTTGACAGACCATATCCAAAGGACCTATAAATTGACCATGCATCACTCGTTACAAACATATCAAGTGATAATATACAGAGTATTTTATTTAGATACTTATTTGTCTACACCTTTTCAGACTCATTCAATTAGTGAATATCTTCAGCAGGTGTCCATAAAGTTTAAAGAAACATATTAAAGAAAATTAAGAAAAAGTCAAGATCTACATATATTTCACATATTGATCTACAAATATTTAATTTTTTGCAGGTACCCATATAGTTTAAAGAAATGGCATATTAAAGAAAATTAAGTAAAAGTCAAGATCCATGAGAAAAAAAAAAGTGATCAATTTGTAGGTAGTAATAATAACTAAAATAATAATTCATTTTTATACAGCGCGCAAAAAGTGAAATTATAGTGTAAATTGCAGTATTTTGAGAACAGAAAGAAAATAAATTAAAATCCTTCAGAAAAATCTTCTGCATAAGCATTTCAGAGAAACCAAAGTTTGATGAACACTTTCACATGCAACAACTCAAAGTTGGGAAAGAAACTCCATGAAATCAACAGACCAAGAGTAAACCAACATTCTGAAAGAAACAAGACAAAGACATCATCATTTGCATGAAAAAGGTAAATTTTCAGGATCTTTTGAATGCGTGTAACTGAGGCACAGAAGAAAACCATCTTGTTTTATACAAGAGAAAAACATGAAGAAGCATTGCAGGGCGTAAAAGCATACCTGTTGCAATACCAGCATAAGCCATTTTGAAACTTTCTAATGCATACGCTCTTTTTTGCAGCAAAGTGGCAAGTGCTAAATATAAGGAATAAATAAATAATATATATATATATATATATATATATATATATATATATATATATATATATATATATATATATGACACAACTGATATGATGTAATAAAAAAATATATTATTATAAGTTTATTTGATGAGTAAGTATTTAAAAATTTTGTTTATCACTTATTTATTATAAAGTTTAAAAATTAAGATAAATTATTATTTTAAATCAATAAATTATTAAAAGAATAAATGATATTGAAAAATAAATTTTTAATTATTTTTTAACTAAATGAATAATTAATTTTATAATATATATTAAAAACTTTATATTTAAAATAAAAATTAATTTTATTAATATAATTTAAAATTTTAAAAATTATTTAAATATTTGTAATTAATTATTTTAAAGTAAATTAATTATTATTTATAATTTTAATTAATTTAAAATTGATCATTAACTCGATAGACTAATATAAAATTGAATAAGAAAAAAATGTTATAATTTATTTAAAAATATAGATAAAACTATTACATAAGATATATCATACTAAACCACATTATCCATTTTAATAGTCCTAAATAAAATAATAAAAAAATGAAAATGGTAATGTTTAAAAATTGTTAGAAAATATCTTCTGTCCACCATAAAATGGATGTGACTGGTGGTTAAGAAAATTAATGATACAGAGACAGAGTAAACAATTATTGCCCTTTGCACACTTTCATGATTTTGGCAAGGAGAACTATTTATTTCATAGACAAAAAAAAGTTGCAAAGAGTAAAAAAAAACCATAAAAAAGTTAAATTTAGCCTCTAAATTGTGAAAATAATTTTTTTATTTTTTAAACTATCAATTTATTATAAAATATTACGTCGCAAAACATGATTTCAGATTTAAAATTATAATAGGGTTATAATTTTGTATAACTAAAAAGTAATACAACTTTACTTTAAGAATATTTTTTTATTTATTTACGTATGAATTATTTAACTTTAAATATTTTTATAATATCTCAATTTAAATAAATGAGTATGTAAATACTTATTTAATTTTAGTTAGTCTATAGTAGTTTTAATTATTTTATATAAAATAAAATTATGATTCCAAAATCATATCAATAAATTATTCTAATATTAAATTTTCATTTAATCTTTGTAAAAGAAACACCAAACTTAGAAAACATATTGAATCAAATAAATTAAGATAAATTAATGGTGAGAATTTATTTCATAATATAATTTTTTCTGTTCTTGAATGAGTCTTTATTATTCCCATGCAGACCCTGTATTTTTAATAAGTAATATTTAATTAAATATATTGTTATTACTTTTACTTATTTACATGCTTTTCATTTAACACGAATTTATAATTTGATATTTTATTTTAACTATGTAAAATATAAAAGAAATTGCATTATCAAATATAGATGTAGCATAATTTATTTTGCATGTAAATTTATAAATTTATTTAAATAAAATAATTATAATTTATATAAGTTACATAAAATTAAATAAATACATTATAAAAGTGTTTAAATTAAATATTTAATAAGTAACTAAATTCTATTTAAAATAATCTTCCTTAAATTACAATAGTGTAATATTAGTTATACAAAATTATATCTATCACTTTAATAGTTAAAAAAAGGGTCATATAAAATATTTATTTATTTTAAAGTGATGTTTTTAATTAAAGGTTATTGAAACTAATATTTTTTTTAAATCTACCTTTACAGTGTAATTTAGGGGCTTCAATGGACCTTTACAGCGTTTTTTTTTTCAAAAAAAAATAAAAATAAAATAGATAGATGTAGCTGCCTATATTCCCTAAAATCAAGAATTATATATATATATATATATATATATATATATATATATAATTTTTTCGTATATGATATAAATTATGTTAAGATATTATGCTTGAGAAGAAGCTTATTTGCATGCGATGGTATTTACGTAACACAATACAATTGAATGAAGAGATAATCCCCTATAAGAAAAAAGTGATAAAATGAAAGAATATCAAATCCCATTAAACATATATTAAACTAAAGAAAAATACTAAAATGTTTTATTATCTTTTTATTTAATCATATAATTATTTTAATTTATATAGTTAAAATTTTGATATTATTAATATTGATATTTTGTTAGGATATTATTCTATATAGAGAACATAAATAAAAATAAACGAGAGATACATTTTTACCATATCTCATTATAAAAATCGTAAAAAAAATCATTCACTTTGATTTTAAATTAAAATATAAAATTATATTATATTGTAATTTTTTAATCACATCCTTAATTATTATCCATTTTAATAATAAAGATTTTGTGGAGAAGTGTTAGTATATATATATATATATATATATATATATATATATATATATATATATATATTAATAAAAAAATTCTAATGAACTTTAGACTAAAATAACACTTGTGATGATAATTAAAAAAAAATTAACAATATAAAAAATTGGAGTAGAAGAGATATAAATTTGATAAATGAAAAATGTTAAACTTTTATATTTGAAATTTAAATTAACCAATTTTAAATAATCGAAATTTACCTCATAAAATCCTAAAATTTAATATAAATAATATTTTATTATAAAATATTTTAAATTTTTATAAAAATAATCTCCTATTCTCCAAAATTTCCCATTCACAAGGTAAAATTAATTTTATTGTAAAAGAAAATTTTCATAAAAAATACCAACTCTTCGTCATGATACCAAATTAATAATAATTATAACGTTATATAGAAGATATGATAAATATTTTTACATGAATTTGTTCTTTTCTATAAGTATTTTTTAAAAAGTAACTAAAAAGAGTTTATACATTACCAAATTCTATTATATAATTTTTCTAAATTTTTTTTATTTGTGTATAACTTCATATTAATTTATGAAAGAAATTATTTAAATTATTTTCATATTTTTATCTTCTAAAATATTTATTGAGAACTTATCCAGATATAATAATATTGAAATACTATGAGGTAGTAGAGTTAAAGACGATCATGTTTAATTATAAATTTAAGAAGAAAATAATTTAATCAATCAAATTTATAGGTTTTTTTTTTAACTAGACTTTAGAATTCAGGTAGAAAACATTCACAAACAACCCAATTTCCTTAATATGAAATAACTATTTGCTTTTAACAAACCAAATATTCCAAATCTTAAAAACAAAATTCTCCTAAAATTTGAAGAATTTTTTGTTTTCCATTTATCTGTTCTTCCTTTTCCACAATGTTATTATTCAATGTGGCTGCCATGCCCAAGTCAAGTAAAATTTGAGGAGGAATTCTTCCTGCAGCTGGTCCAGTATTCAGCTACCAGATTGGAGAATGAAGAGTTGGTGTCCATCAGTCTTGAAGGCTCATCATATTCCACCACTTTCCCTTTATATATAAGTAACTAACTGATCAGTGAACTAGAGAAGAAAAGTAGTATATCCTAAAAGGAGATAATAAAAAAAGAATGAAAGAACATACCAAAGGAGAGGACCATAACCATGTCACTGTCTATTACAGTTGGAACCCTGTGAGCCACTGTTATAACTGTGCATTCTGCAAATTCTTCTCTAATAATTCTCTGTAGAATAGCATCTGTGGCAGAGTCAATGGAGGCAGTTGCTTCATCCAGAACAAGAATTCTGTTCCTCTTAAGCAGTACCCTTCCGAGACAAAACAGTTGCCGTTGCCCCAAGCTCCAATTTCCACCCTCATCACTCACTGTATAACTATTCTCAATTAGACTTCAATACCTACTTTGTTCCAAAATCTTAATTTATGTATTAAATACTTTAGATTAGATTAGAAGTGCAACTTATTGAAAGTTCAAATATTATGTGTATCCCTCCTAACTTTAAACATGAAAATCTGCAATATAGATTGTTGCCGCTGAAAGAATTGGCCAGAAAATACCAATATCAGATTTGTAAGTATTTGAAGTTAACTCACCCAAAGAGTCTAAGAGATTTGGTAGATGGCTCACAGTTTCCTTAAGCTGACATTTCTCTAAAGCCTATATACAAATGAAACATAATCAAACGTGTCCTTAATGAAAAGATCATGTAGAACATAAAGTTATTTAAGATAACATTCTCTAACAGCAGATTTAGTCCATTCACCTTCCATATATCATCATCTGAGTACAGGCCTAAAGGGTCCAAGTTGGTTCTAATGCTGCCCTTGAAAAGAGTTGGTTCTTGAGGGATGATGCTTAGTTTCATTCTCAAATCCTTCAACCCCATTGAGCATATGTTAATCCCATCTATAAGAATATCACCTCTTGCTGGCTCAACTAAGCGAAACAAAGCACTTATGAGTGTACTTTTTCCACTTCCGGTTCTTCCTACAACTCCCACTCTACTCCCTTCTCTAAACGTACAAGTGATACCCTTAAGCACTAATGGAGCATTAGGACGATACCTAATCTGAGATGAATGTATAAAAAATGACCATCAGACACAAATATATGTCTATCCAATAACAGTAGTGAAATAAATAAAAAATAAAAAAAAAATTGAAAGAAACTTTGCCTCTAAAGCTTGAAGATCAATTCTGCCTCTGGAAGGCCATGAGGATGGAGGCCGGTGCTCCTTCACAATGGCAGGAGGCTCTGACGGTAGGTGAATGAATTGCTTGATTCTTTCAACAGAGATAATATAGTTCAGTAAGTTGCAATACCATCGAGTCAAAAATATTTGGGATCCTGTCAAGCTTAAAGCATAAGAGAGAGACAATCCCACGAGGCCTGCACAATACAAGAGAATTGTGAGCAATTAAGAGCTTATTAATAAAATGCATAAAGCCTTATCTTGCTAGCTAACCTCTGAAGTAATATTACCTGGGGACACGTATTCCTGAGGAAATAGAATAAGCAATACAGCCGAACTGATGGCTGTCAAATTTTGAAGTGCTTCAATCCTTAAAACTAACCATTCCATGGCCGCATTAGAATGAAAAAACAGTGTTGCGTCTGTGTCCACAAGCTTTAAGTACTTCTTAAAAAATCTTTCTACCATATTAAATGCTCTTACAGTAACCACACCATGTGATGTCTCAGCTGCAAAATTCATCACAGGAGCTTTTGTGGTTCCATTGATCCTCACCAATTCCCTCGACGAGGCTTGATAATATCCCTTTTAAGGGGAGAAGAGATAAAGAAAAAATAAGCTCTGTGATTTAAACAGAAAAATAGAAAACTAAAAAAAAATTGAAAGTGGGTAAACCTGAACAAATTTTGATGCAACTAAAGCAGGAATGGCGACGATGACAACTGGCCATGTTACTAAAACCATTACACAAACTGTCACCAAAATTTCAATTATTACGGATGCTACAAAGGTGATCGAATAAGGTATATCAAAGTCCAAAATACTTAAATCTGACGAAGCCTGCAAAAAGGAAAAAATGGATCAAAATTTTGATGATTAGTAACGATCAAACACAAGGAAATTATTTAGATTTTGTTCCATTGCGAATGAAATCTTACTCTAGTTAAAATCCTTCCGACAGGGGTCGAGTCAAAGAACAGCATAGGAGCATTGAAGATAGAATTAGTGAAACTCGTAAAGAAAGCTTTTGAAGCTTTTAATCCGAGGTAAGAGGTAAAGAGAGACCTTAAATATACAAAGGCAGTACTAGCAAATGAAATTAAGGAGTACACCCCAATCAAGGTGGCACTATTTATTTTAGAAATTTCAATGGCTAGAGCAAGCCAAAGCATTGATGCAGTCTGCAAAGCAATAAAAGTAACCTGTGCCAACATGACCAAAGACAGCATCAATGAACACCTGGAAAATGAAATATAATCCAAGAATGTCTTCCACCCAGCATCACCAATCTCTTTTTCTTCTTCTTGTGTAAGCTGTATCCCAGGTTGGCCCTCGGTGGAAATCTCCCCCTCGCTTTGGTTTTTAGTGAGATAAAAGCCTTGAGACTCTTCTCTCTGAGTTTTGTTTTCATTATTTTGATCCCACTCAGTAATTGCTTCCTTATGAGCGTTCACAAGTTGCTCAAAGGCCGTCTCAGCTGCTAAGAGACTTTCATAATTACCTGATTGAGTAACTTTTCCACCTTCCATCACCTAGAATTTTAGTCATAACTTGCCATGTTAATCATATGCGAATGTAATGTAATGGGCATCCATATATGAGACACTTTACCAGGATTGTATCAACTTCGGAGAGAAACTCCACTTGATGTGTCACTAGAATGACTGTTTTCTCTCTTAGAGCCGTCATTACGCAGTCCTGTAAGCATGTAAATGCAAGTGGTTTGATTCTCTGAATAGTTAAAGCTCAGAATCTAACGGTGACAGCTTCTTACATTGAACAGAATTGCGGCCGTATGAGCATCAACTGCACTGAAAGGGTCATCGAGGAGATAAATGTCAGCATCATTGTAGACTGCACGAGCTAGTTGAATCCTTTGCTTTTGTCCTCCACTCATGTTAATCCCTCGCTGACCTATTTCTGTAAGATCACCATGGCTAAAATCGTTGATATCCTTATCTAAAGCACAAACTTTAATGGCACTCGCATATCTTGTTTTCTCCATTGGCTTGCCGAAGAGTATATTGTCTCGAACTGTTCCACTTTGTATCCAAGAAGTTTGAGAAACATATGCTATGGTGCCACACACATTAACCTGTTTTTCATTGTTGTGAAATTTCAGGGAGAAAGAAGCCTTAGATATCTAAATAGTAAAATATAAAAATGAATTTGGTACGAAAAAAATTATACTATTTTGGGTAAAATCTCACAGATCCTGAAATCTTCGGAATCTCTCCAAGTACTGCATACAAAAGTGACGATTTCCCAGCTCCAACTGGCCCACAAACCGCAACTTTCTCTCCCCATTTGATTTCTAAATTGACATCTTTTAACGTTGGGAGTACTGCTTCGTGGTCCCAAATGAAGTTGCCAGCTTGGATTTCTACCCCATTAATTGAACTTCGGTTTATATATCTTCTGTTACCATCATTACTCTCTAGTTCTTCGTCAAGCAAAATGGTATTGAGACGATCAAAGGATACCTTAACTTGGATCATAATAGATAGAGCCTCTGGAATCATTCGAACAGGTTCTGACAAGTTCCTCAACGTTGACAAAACTGTAAAAATTGTCCCAGCATTCAATGGAGCACTATCGAAAAGAGCACAACCGAGGAAAACAACAGCAGAAACGATGGTAGGAGACATCCAATATAGAAATGTCCCATAAGCTTTCACGATTTGTGCCTTAGATAACCAAATGAACTCTTTATCACGTAGGTTCTCAACCAAACTCTTGAATTTGTCATCCCAGGACTGTAACTTAATGATTTTAATGTTATTTAGAATTTCTGAAGTTGCTCTAAGACGCTCATCCTGTGAAATCATGAACTGTGCCATGCACTTCTGTAGGAACTTTGCAAATGGTACATTGATAAGTCCACATATAAGAAGAGGGACTAAACCAAGAAGAGCACCGACTCCCACAACACCATAAAGGATACCAATAGATAGAAGAAGTTGCAAAGTAGATGCCCATGTTATATGAAACCACCATGGGAATTCTCCCATGCGATACGCATCAACCGCAATGTAATTCACAATTTCACCTGTTGAGTGTCTTGTCCTTGCTGAGCTCGAAAGCTTTAGTTGTTTTTTATACACTGCCACCATCAGAGCTGATCTCATCTTCAATCCTGACTTCCTGGAATTAAAAAAACAATGTCTCTGGGACACAGAATCAACCACTTTTGACACAATAAGAAAACCCACTATAGTAAGACCTTCCATGAGATCTGTATCCCTGGTATCCCTACTATTTGAATAGTTGACAAAAGCATAGAGTATTAAAGGAGAAACAGTCACAGCAATGGTTCTGAGTAATGCGTAAAAAGCTATTAATGTGTTCTCTTTTAAGTGAGTTCTAACAATAGACCGAAGTACCAAGTTCTTGGTATTGTTCTTATTGCTTCTCTCCCTCACAAGGGATTCCCATGCATGCATGAAGTTTTGGTAGGCCATGTCTGCTTCATCTTCAGAAAGGAGGGAAGGGATGTCTTCAAGGGCAAGTGGCTTTGAGTAACCCAGACTGAGTAAGGAGTTAACCCAAGAAAAAGTCAACTTGCTCAGAAAGGAAGCACGGCCTAGTCCTGTTTTTTCTGCGTCAACTTCCTGAGCTAACAATGGCTCAGATAATTTTTTTGGTACACTTTGAGTGACAAAGTAACCAAGATTTTGGAAGGCACAAAAAAGAAGAAGCATGTGTAAGAGCCATAGTAGGACATCGAAAATTTCTATTACATGCTTTCTAAACAGAATTTCAGTGTCGAGAGCTGAAACTAGTGCACAGGAACATGTCCACCAGACAGAGTTTAAAATTTTGATCCATTTGTGTCTCTGAACAAGCAAAGAAACTGTCAAAGAGGTCCAAACAAATCCTCTTACAATGCAAGCTAACCAGCTCACATGGTTAGCCATAGAATTACCGGCTTTGTCTATGAGATTCAACACGCCAATACTGTAAAACACAATGCTAGTAATAGCACAACAGATTGAGACAAAAAGGAAAAACCTGCTTCTGCTAGGACTTCCATTTGCAAAATTTCTTCTGATTAAACTGATAATCGTAGAAGCGTAAAAGACACAGACAAAAATTAGATTTATAGTGTCTATGGTGGTCCTTTGTGAACAGAAAGAAGTGATATCAAAATCCTTGAGACAAAGCCATGAGAAATCATCTGCATATCCATTCAAGATCATCATCAACAATTTTACACGCAACAACTCGAAGTTGGAAAAGTTAATAAGTTGTTCATGAAAATCAACAAAAATGAAAGAAACTAGACTTTAGCATCATTCGCATGAAAAGGGAGCTTTCAAAATCTCCCTAATGCATATAAAATTAGAAGGAGTATTGTTTGACATAGATGGTGCAGAAAGGCAAAAAAATGGTTACATGTTACCGCATAGTGGCATATCTGACATAACCAGTGCACCAACTTCTTGCACACCCTCACAAAGAAAACAAAAATCATAGCCTGCCATAACATCAACATACCTATTGCATTCCAAAAGTTGGCCATTTTTGGAGCTCGGATTTGAAAGTTGAATGCTTCCTTTTTGCAGCAAACCAGCCTCTGATCCACGCCACAATTTAAAAAAAAAAATCGTGCACCATCCATAGTTCGTTGTAATATAATATAATATAATTTCTTTAATTTATTAAATTATTAATTGGTTTTTATAATAAAATAAAAATATCTACTAAAAGTAACATAAAATTAGATTCGTAAAGGGAAGAAAGTAAAAAAAGATAGAAGTAAAAAAAGATAGAAGTGTTTTACACATGATTGATTCTTATAAGTAAGGATTAAGTCATATATATATATATATATATATATATATATATATATATACACCCTTTAATTTAATAATAATAATAATTAACATTAATAATAAAAGAAGTTATTGATAATAAATAAAATAATCTTTTTATATTCATTTATTATATTTTTATCTTCCTTTTCTTTTTCTTTTCTTTTTTATTTTAATTTCTTTATTTTTTTTCTCTTTATGGAGCATAGTATAAAAAAGATGACACTTGAGAAGTAATTCTTTAATTAATTATTTTCATTTGAGAGTATAAAAATAAGAATATTTATAAAAATCATGAATATAAATATTACCGAAGGATTGCAAACACCTCACATAAGTGATAGCCATATGAATTCCTTTTAATGATTCGATTTGATTATTGATTAATTATGTAATTTATTATATTTTGAATATTTGATATAATTACAAAATTCTTAAAATGTGAAATTGGTATGATGATTAAATTATTGATGGTGTAATCATGATTTTGACTAAGATAAAGTTTAAATTTTTGTTCTTATTAATAAGTGGGCTTCTAACTAATTATGAGATTGAGTTATTAAATGTCAAATTGGTATGATGATTAAATTATTTATGGTGTAATCATGATTTTGACTAAGATAAAGTTTAAATTTTTGTTCTTATTAATAAGTGGGCTTCTAACTAATTATGATATTGAGTTATTAAATAGCGTACTCTAAAAATTGTATAATAATGATATAGAAAAAAAATTGTAATTAGATGTAAATTCATTAAAGAATATAAAATAATAGGTAAAGTAAGATTTAAAAGTATACACCTGAAGAATTTGAAGGAACTCGCGTAATAATAAAAAATAAAAAACTACGAAAATAAGCTTAGAAAGAAAGTTGGGATGAAAATTGTAGGCAAACCAAATGAATTAAATAAATAGGGTGATGATTTTCTTGTCCTTTAAATGGATGAAGTAAAAATAATGATTGATTAAGATAATAGTTAGAAATCTCTGTCTGTCTTATTTTATTTTATATGATATGATTTGATTATGTTTTAGATTACTTTATATATTATTCAATAGTTTTATATTAAAATTTTAATATGAATACAAAGTCTAACTTTTTTTATTATTATTGTCATGAATCAAAAGCTATTTTTTCGTTAAAAATACTATTTATTTGGTGTGAGAAACTTTGTAATAATACCCTACACTTGTCTCCTACCCTATGGTATAATTTAATTTCATATTAGAATCTTAATTATTTTAACAAGTTTCGTTGAAAGAGATATACTGAAAATCCTACATCACTTATCACATATTTAATTTTACTTTAGAACCTTATCTATCTTTGCAAAGAGTCGTGGAAAAATTTGCAACAAGAAAACTGACAGAATAGTATTGTACATTGTGAGGTCAGGTTCGAAAATTAGGAATCCAAATTTGTCGAGTTTCATTGTTAGAACAAATTCACCAATTCTTTCTTATCAAGAATATGTTCTTTACCTTATAACTTTTTTTTTTGTCAATGTCATATCATGCATTCACATTCAATGAAAAAGCTATAACAAATCTGCTATAAGACAAACAAATATGGTGGTACCATTTGTTTTCTGAATCTTATATTCTTCGACTACTAAAGACAGCATTTTGTGTGTGTAGCTTACCACATGAGGAATCAACATGTGGTCATTTTATTTGATTCGACAGATTGGAGGTTATATATGAAGGTTTTCATTGAGGAATTAGATAGAATATTTTGGGTTGGTACTTTGTTATTTTAGGGTTCCATTAAAGACATTTCTAAGGGAGAAAAAAAAATCATTAATCTGAAGAACACTCACAAAAAGTTTTATAAGTCAAATCCTTAATATATAGAATTCATCCTAATGATGATTTCTCAAATGAGTGTGGTAGCTTCTAACTTCATATTTTCTTTCTCTAATAAATTCAAATCAGATTCTGTCTTCTATCCTTTTCATGGGTTAATTAACAGTCCCTTTCCAACATAAAATAAATAAACGTACAAGAAATTCAACAACAATATTAAACTATGTAAAAAAAACATGCCTTTATAGTAATATAATATGAAGAAGAAGGCGAAAAAGTGATTCTTAATCAAGAACATCATCATTCTGCCTCAGATAGATGATCTTCGGCATTAGACAAAAAATCTGACTAGACCAACCACTAGGATTGACAGAGATGTTGGCCTTTAGTTGTTTTGTTGCCTTTGTCTTTGAATAATCTTCATCTTTTCATTTAGTTTTTTATTAATCCATGCAATGCATGGTTATTTTATCGACTTGTAGGACATACGCAGAAAATATTTTTACAAAAAAAATATCATTCTCTGATATATTTGTGTAAAAGTTTCATAATATTAATTAATTAATAAATATATCCTCAAAAGTAATTGTCAACAAATTAAATGATAATAAAATAAATATTAAGATACTATTAGCTCATATTTTATTTATTTTGATATATTATTTTGGATTTAGCAAAATCATAACCGCGAATAAGTCTTTACTTTCCATTTTAACAAAAATCGGACTTAAATGATATATTAATATTCTGGACCCTGTTAATGTTTTATTAAAAACTATTAAATTGTTTGTCAAAATTTACTAAAAACTGTAAAATTGTTTAGGAGTGTAATTAAGTAAAATGGGAAAGTAAAAAACAAATGTGTGATGTTCAATATTCATGTGTGATAATATTATCTTAAAAAAATTATTTTTTCTAAAACAAAAATATTTTTGTCTCATGTTGATTATTATGATAACATCTTTATATTATTAGAGTCAATTTCTATTGGGTTGGACTTTCAATTATGTGTCTAAAAAGTATTTAAATTAATCAAGTTCATTTTAGCTCACTTAACCTAAGTGAAGGAGAGTCTCTAGATTAAGATAAAAGAACATTTTACAAGTATTTGAAACAAAAAAATAAATAAACAGTTTCACTTATTTATTGAGCCGTTATAATAAAATCCTGATTCTTGTGTTTCATTCACCTTAGATAAGCATTCACCTTGGATCTAGCTAAAAATTTTTACAACAGGTTTGTTTTGCAGAGTAACGATATTCGTTTTAACCATTATAATAGTTAATTGGAGGTCTATAGTTTGAGATATCAATCTCGCACTGGTTGATTTTTAGATTTCTTTTCTTTATTCTTAATCTGATAATATTGTTGTTTTTATATATTAGTTGTTTTATAGTCATTTATTTATGTATTTTGATTTGATTTTTTTGTACTCATACTTTTGATTTAATTTTAGTGGAGAGTTTGATGCTCATACTTTTGATTTGATCTTAGTGGAAAGCTTGGTTGACTTGTTTGTGACCATGAGTTTTTATTTCTCATATTGAGAGTGAGATTTCTTGCACTAAAAATATTGATATTGGTGTTTTCTATTGTGATTATTCTGTTGTTGTTGTCGTTATTGTTCTTCACATATTTCTACAAGTTTAGAAAAATTATTCTCGCTACATAATTTAATATTTTAGGTTGTTGTATTGTTTTGGTACGAATGGAGCGATAATCTTTTTTTATTTATTCCGCTTCGTTATCTTATCCTTGTATTCACTATAATAACATATTATTAGTTTTTCTTACGTTCAGATTATATTGTCTGTTTTTAATTCTTGTTTATCACGCCTTTATCAATAATGTATATAAAATGTTTTTATATTCCTAAACTACGTAGGACACATGAACCAGAAAAATTTCAAATTCATTTTTTGAAAACTTTTTGAACTAACTAAATATTTTAAATTGACCTTTATGAAAACATTTTAAAATTAATTTTAGGACATTTTCAAAAAACTTCTAAAAAAACTAATTCATAATATTTTTAAAAAATTCATTCTTCTATAATAGTAAATTTGAAATTTAAATTATACTATTTTCAAATTTAGTTTTTAAAAACTTTTTAAATCAATCTTTTCATAATGCTAAAATTATATTATAGATTTAATTATACAGAACTTACAAAAGTTATATATTTCTTATTCATTTCCAAAACACTTTAAGATTTTCAATCCGAAATATTTTCAGAATCACTCATGCCATAAATAATAATAATTATTATTATTATCTTTTCAGATAAATATTGGGATAAAAAAAGAAAGTATGAGTTGGAAGAAGAATGTGGCTAATCTTAGAGTTAAATATGATTTTCTTAAAGCCCAACAATTAAAGTTGGGCCGAATGCTTTACTAGCTCCATTTTTGTTATTGGGTCTGAAATGTTGGATTCATATTTACATACCAGTATCATTCAAATCTATGCTCCTCTAGTTTTCACATTTTTAAAATATGAACATGATATGTATGATTGGATGAACATTTTTATAATTTTGTAGGAGAAAAAAATATATTTAAATTATTTCTCTCATAAACTAAAATTATCTTAATAAATTAATTTATAAAAGTATTTTATATAATTTTTATTGTTAATTTAAAGTAATTTTAGCTAATGAAAAAGTTTTGTTTCTCTTTTTCTATAAGATTTTATGGAAAAATCAGTCTAGAATACCCTAATTGCCATTTGGTTTCTCTTCTATTAATAGGTCAAACTAAGAATTATATCATGAATAATCTTTGGTAGAGTTTTTTTTTTTTTTTAAGTCATGAAATTTTTCCAGTTTCTAATGAATTCCTAAAACTTAAACTCACCTAAACATTTATTTATTAAAAATGAAATACAATCAGACAATTAGTCAAAAGTGCTTGCCAATATAGAAAATATGTGTTCCTTTAATTTTGCTGAATCATTATGAAGTGTGTTAAAAGTTGAAACTGCAAAACCAAGTGCTTTATGGAAAAGAATGTCTCTCAAATAGACCAAGAAAATGTCACCAAAAATTGGGGGGAGCAATAATTTGGTTAATGGACAATGGCCATTGTTCACCATATTTGATGTTTTTGCACTTTACTGATGGAGCTTAATTTGTCTTACTAGCAGAGGATGCAGCCAATATATACATAATAGAGAAATGATGGCTGAAAAATCAAATCGATCAAAAGAAAACAAAGAGAAAAATAGAGAAAATTTTAACCAAAAAAAGAAAAAGGGTCAGTCATTTACGTCACAGAGAATTGGAATCAGAACATTTCATCATAAAATAACAACAATGATGATGAGACAGGGTTTGATACTTTGATTTGATATGCTCATAGGATTAATTATTACTTTGAAATAACACAATATAGATAATTTTCATCATTCTCCACCTATGAAGCCTAAACCAAACAGAGGTTAATATTGCTGTCAAAATCATAGTCATGAAACATTTTTCTTTTAAACCAGATTCAGAATAGAGACATGCAGAAAGTAGTTATGTGAAGAATAGGTAGCAATAAAGGTGATCTAGCGGGGGAAGGGTTAGGGAGTGACCCATTCATCTCATAATTTCATGGACACAAGGTGGAACATGTGGGGATGGAACATGTCAACCCTACTTGGAAGAAATTTCATGTGGCATAAGTGTCCCACCCATGAGAGTTTTGCATTATTGAGTGTGAGATACATTTTGGTGGGGACTTCTTCCTCTTTCATATTTTAATTTTATACTCCTTGTAAAGGATATTGTACAAGAGGAAGTGTTATAAAAAAAAAGATTTTTTTTTTACCTAGAATATGAATAATTACAATCAATTCGTCTCCTCTTTTATTTTAGAACTACTTAATCAAATAACGATATTAATTAATGAACAGAATAAACAGGAAAAATCATATGATAAAAAAAATAAAAAATCATTTCAAAAATAAAAAATAAAAATCAGGAATTCTTTAACGTTAAAAAGTTAATTGATTTTTTTAATAAAAAAAACTGTCACCCGTACAAGGTTTGGACTTTTACGTTTATTATGTAGAACTTTTTACTTTAGAAACAAATTCAATTAGGGAGACGAAAATTTACGTTATATTTGGGATAACGGACGTAAATTGATATTAGTTCCAAGAGTAATTGATGTAAATTTACGTGGTATCCTGCAGATAATTAACGTAAATTTATATTAAATTTTGGAGATAATTGATGTAAATTTAGGTGAGGTATATCTATGATCCAACTTAAATTTTGTTTTTTTTTTTTTTCACGAGTATAGATATCATATAATACAAAACATACAAGCATACAATACAAAATAAACAATAACATACAATGCAAAAACAATACAAAACAAATTAGAAATGTTGAACGAAAAACCTTATTCTTTGTTCTCTAATCTGTGTAATATCATGTTCTGATAATGGAGATGAATGAATCTTGAAATACCTGAAATATTAATTTGACTCCAGTTAACATGCAATAGATACAAAGGTAAATGAACTTAACAAATATTGAAAGCAATTACCTCTGGTCATACCCGCACAAACTTTTGTGTATTACATGTGCTTAAGAACATATTTTGGGAAAAGTGTTAGGACAAATCCCCTTATTTGTCTTCTCTTCTTCTCTTTTTTTTCTTCGTTTTGATATGTTGCGCGTCCGAATCCGATATCCAAGTCAAAAGTTATCTTGTTCCGAACATTTTCCATTTTCTTTTCATCTTAAAACTTTAATACACAAAACAACAACCACAACCTAAACCCCCAATATACAAATTATAACAACAACAAAAAAGCAAGATTCAAACGCATAGAACACTAACTACAACAGTTCGATATCAATAACAATTCAGTGGAAATATTCAATTTTATCATAAAAGAGGAGACAAGACACATAGGACACTAACTTCAAATATACAAAAAATGTAAAACTCATTCAATCAGATAGAAATGTTCACCACTACAAATGAGACACAATGAAAGTATTTCTGTCATTCACTGTAATCGAAATGTAGCTTGAGAAGAGCTGACCATCGTCGTTGTCGTCGTGGTCCTCAAAAACCCTTGTTGTGCGAGACGAAGAAGTGACGTTTGAAAAAATAAAACATGAGTTTTACGTCGGACCTAGAAGAGAATGACGTAAAAAACGAGTTTACGTCAATCCCTTCTAAGGCTGACGTAAATTTTGCGTTTACTATTTATAAAATTGTCATCGCACAACGCGACTTTTACATCACACCTAAAATAGACCGATATAAAACTTGTTTTTTACGTGAGACCATTCTACATCCGATATAAAAAATAATTTTTACGCCCATTTCTTTTAGGTCTAACATAAATTTTAGATGAATTATTTATAAAATTTTCACGGTATAATACGACTTTTATATAGTAAAAAAAACAAAACTAATGTAAAACTCTTTTTTTTTTTTATGTCGGATCACTCTATACCTGACATAAAAAGTGACCACAATTCTTTTTAGATTTATCGATTCTATTAATTACAAAATTGTCACTATTTATTTTTAAATCGATTAATTTTGGATTCAACGTTATCTCTACGTAAAATATTATTTTGTAATAGTGAGTGCCATTTTGTTCCTTGTCTGCATGACCTTTACCCTATGTGATGAGTCAAATTAGTCCCTATTTTCTGTTTGAACTCGTCTTTTCCGTAAGACACAATCAATTTTGCTATTAAAAGTACAACCTACTTTCATGGCAGGCACAGCAAAACAACACATAAATTGCATATGAAACACAAAACACAGAAAATTTAAACAATTTTTTTTCAATTTAATTACTCATTTCAAGTTTAAGTTTTATAAGTAATTTTGAATTTCAATCATAAAATTATGATAAGTATTTAACTATATAAAGTATTAAAATTCATCATGACATCTGAAAATTCTGATTCATAATTTTGTCTTGAAAAATATCCTAATATAAACTATTTTTTATCTTAATTTTTAAATAATATTAAATTTGTATATATAAAAAACTATTCATGTGTATAATTTTGTAAAAATTAATTAAAATTTAAAGCAAAATAAAATATAATTATTTGATTAGTAAATATTATTTCTTTGTTTTAAAATATATTACATTTAAAGTTAATAAAAGAGGATATTATTTTTAATAAATTTATTAATTTCTATTTATTAATAGTTTTTCATCCAGAATCTTTTTAATAACTTATTATGTTTTACAATACATATAATTAATAAAATATTTTTTAAGAGAAATATTATTAATATTATATTAAAATATAAAAATTTTGAACTATTATATATTATTTTTAATATAATTACCTATTAATATATTAATAACTAATTTATAAAATATCTTCACTACATTCTTCAGTATAATATTTTAATTATATATATATATATATATATATATTGAAATTATGTTAAAATTCTTTAATCAACTTCTTAGTGTGAAAATATTAAATAAAAAGAAAAGAATATCAATTTCAACAAAATTAACTTTATCATGTTAGATTAGTCTTCTAGTTGTGTTTTTATTGTTATTATGGGTTTAAACTTGATTAACATACATTAGAAAACAAAAATAACACTTATTACAAAATTTATTTATTTTCTACTACAACAATTATTATAGAACAAAGAGGGTGTATTTTTGAGCTCAACACGAGAAAACCCTATCCCAGAAGCTAGGTAAAGTTAATCTATTTTCAAACAATGATAACTGTTTTTAATTAAGAGGGCATAGAAAAATAAGCTTCACTTTGAAATTCGGATTATGAATTTAACTTATAAAATGATGACAATTAGGAAATTGATTAATATTTTTTTTTTGTCTCATTTGAATGTTTATTGAATAAATTGGAAGAGGCGTGCATAGCATAATGCAATGGATTTAATTAATTAATTTTAATGTTTAAAATTTGATCACTGTGATGCAATATTATTATAAACATGTTTAAGAGGTTAATATCAATTTAGGGTTTTGTGCAACACTATTATTTTATTTGAATAGTGTGTAGTGGGGTGCTCGAGTTCCATAAATTAACCTCCTTGAATTTGAATTTTTGAATCATGTTGTTCCATTTGAGTCTGGAACACGCTTCTAATATAAAAAATGATGATACATTTACATCGTTTTTGTTTCCTAGTAAAAGCAAAAGACAAAAAACAAAACAGACAATAATACTATTTTAATTTTTTCTGAATTTGTCAAGTTAACGTGAGAACTGAGTTCTAAATAATATATCAAAAATATTATATTTTTTTTATTTCACTTAAAATTTAATTTAATCTATTCTTTACCATTGAAAAACTTCATTTTTAAATATTTTAACTGTTTCGAGACAAGATTAAGATTTAAAATATTTGAACTGTTTCAACACTATCATCAATTTGAAAAGATTAAGAACGGAGACATTAATGTTGTGGATTATTTTAAAGTTTTAGTCTATTATTATTCTATTTTAAAATGTGTACCGATGAATTTGAAAAAATATATATAAATTATTATTAATTTTAGCTTTCAATCGATTAATTGATATGAAACTTATAAACTATCGAAAAATAATTTTTTGAGTTTAGAACTAAAACATATTAGTGGATTAAAATTCTACTATCAACTCCATTTTGATACTAATATTTATTATTGTCATAATTAATTTTCATATTTTAAATATTATATTTTAAAATTTTAATTCGATTTTATCCTCAAAATATCGTTCTGCACATAAAAACAAAAAGGTACATTACATAAAAATAAATAAAAAATTACTCCACACGTACAATTTAAATATGAAGACATCACGTGTCTCTCTAAGAACTGGATAAATTTATCAGTTTTGTTGTATTTTTGTTTGATATAAAAAAATCAATTAATAATACTCTTTTTTTATTTCTCTTAATAGTGAAGAATAAACTATTTAATGAATAAAAAAATGTGAATTTTTTTAATATTTTTATTAATACCACATTTATCCTATAGAAATTAGACTATTATTCTAAACATTGTAAATTTAGACTAATATTAGTATATTAACATTTAAACTTATTAAATATATATATATATATATATATATATATATATATATATATATATATATATATATATATATATTAGCATGAACCTAAACTTTTTATACTAATGATTTACTTTATTTTGAACCAAATTTATATTATCAAAAAATAATTTAATATCCTTTTTAAATCGCATGCACATTTTTTTTTTTTGGCTAATACATTAGGGTGTAGATTTTGAGTCAACCAGGTCGTGTTAGTATATTAGATTTTGAAACCACGGATCCTGGATCTTGTCCCATAGCTTTCGAACCTACCAAATGTTTTTATAATGCAATTTTTTCTTAAAATAACTATTTTTTTTAAAACAAATAAACAATAATCTAAACAACAAACAAAAGACAAAATATATTTAAAAAAGTATAGACTTTTTTTAGATTTAAGGGTTGACAAAACAATTAATATTATAGTGCCATGATAATTAAAATGTTAGTAAAAAATTAATTTATTTCTCAATTTTATAAAAGAGTTATCTTTACAAAAATTTCATGAAGGTGTATTTAACAAGTAAATATATTAATTAAGGAAAATAATAAAAAGTATTGAAATTTTGAGATAAATAATGATTGTAAATTGAATTATTCATAAATTTTTTTATAATAATATTTTCAAATTAATTGATACTGTAAAAAAAATTGACATTATATCACAACCATAATCTGAAAATCAAAATCCTATTAATAATAAATTGAATAAAAAATATTTTTAAATTAATTAACCTTTACATTTTATATTATTGCAACGTGAAAATTCTGAAGTTTTTTAATTTTGAATGATGAATAGTAGAAGACAAAAAATTGGTATTCAAAATTAACATGTTAGTCAACATATTCATGCTATTTTTAAAAGGTTGTCATTCTTATATATATTAGCATCTAAAATAATCACTACATTTAATAGTAGTATTTAATACGTGATATTTACATTATTAAATATGTTTATTTTTTATTTGGATTATATTAAAAAAATATTAATTAATTATAGGATTAGGACATCTTGTTTAATTTTATTATTTTGAAAAATATTTTAAAAGTTAACCTTTATCAATTATTAATAATAATGTACATAAGGTATTTTTAATGAAGATATCTCTTTTAAAGCATTTTTTTAAGTATTTTTTTCTTCAATTAAATATTTTTTCTTAAAGGATTCTAAAATAGTTTTTTTTATATTCTTTATTTTTTGAAAAAAAGTTAAATAAATAATATATATTAAACAATTTATAGATAAAGTTATTTATTTTTAAATGACATTTTTTTATATCACAATAAGATTAATTATCTTGTAAAATATGAGTATATGATAAACTTTTTCTTTTTAATTTAAGAAAGAATGAACCAACTTTATAAATTATAATTGGACTGTATATCTAATCATAGTATAATGTTTCCCTCAAAATGCTAGTAATTCCTATAATATTTTTACATAACTCATTAATTATCAATTTAATTTTATTATCTAATGTTTTTGCTTAAGAATAAAAGCCACTACTTTTCTATCTTAAAAAAAAATTCTTATTATTTACTTTAATTAATTTAAAATTTGTAAACTCAAGTATAGGAAACAAATGATATACTGGATCCTTAATAATTTACTCTAATAATTTATAATTTGTACTATGTTAAAAATTCATTATATAGTTTTATAGTTATATTATATACTTTTATAATTTATAAAAAAATATAATTTACAAATTTTCATAATAATTTATAATTTTTGAGTTGTAATGTTTATTTAATTTACAAGTTATAATAAACTATACTTTTTAATAATTACATTATTTAATTGATACAATAATATGTTATTAAAGAATCTTCAATAAAATGAAATAAATAAACTTTGTCAAATACCCTAAACCAACCAAAATTTACATAAGAACAACAAAAAAATGTCTAACAACTTAAAATATTAGTTACAAATTCTACATCTTTTTACAAATGATTTAACTTATTTAAAAGATACTATTTTTATTTTTTAACATAACCATTAAACACAATTATTTATATATATATATATATATAATAAATATAAAATACATTTAATGAAGAATGTTGAATTCATGAGAAGAAGGTGAGCGAATCCAATGACATGTATAATAATGAATCTTGTAACGTAACGGTGAAGTGACTATACATTTTAAAAGTTTAACCGCTGCACCATTTATGGTCAAATCCAAACACATTTAATGTGGTCAGAAGAGAACAACATTGTTCATCAATTTACTTCATGACACTCTTGTCTGTTTTTGCTCTCACAACATAGGTAATTAATGTATAATATTTTATTATCCCATAAAAATATATAGTAACTTATTTTTTACTATATAATTTTCTTTTACACATTTATAAATATTTCTTCTTATTCATAAAACACTAATCCAATCATAAGTCCAATCATGAAGAAAGATCTTATAAAGGAACAATAATAACAACCTTTGACACTGGATAATGATTATGAGACCAATGAATCTGAACTTGCTAATTATTATTAACCATGAAAAGTATACACAACTCTTCATTCTAGTTGAGGTGATGTGTCTTAGGTTTCCCTCTCATTTTGGTCACAAAGCTCATAACTTTAGGAGGAAGGAAGCAACTTTAGGACAAACCAAGCCCAACACAAACACCCTTTAATTTGAAATTTAAGATGAGAAAAGAACAAATGCTATTACTACAAGAAGGGATCATGTAGGTCCCTTTACACTCTTATCTAAGTCATCTTCCCATTGCTCCAAGTAACAAATTGCTTCATTTGTCAGTGACCAATGTCAGTGAGTTTGTCATAATAACCACAACCATAACACGACACTCCCTTTATTAATGACATATAAGTCATGAAAACACCAATGCAGTATCACTCAGAGCAGAGAAACCCCTACAGATTTTCATGTTGTTTTCTGTAAGATCCCGCTCATGAATCAACATTTAAAATTAAAGTTCTTACATTTAGACCTTTGAAGGACACCGTTACATGTTATCAACAAAAGTTAAGGGTATATGTGAAATTAAGAGGAAAAAATGAGGTATTTTTATATTCAAATCAGAACACCCCTCGAAGATGATTTTACTGCAAATTCAAAACTGATGGAACATGAGGCGTCTGGTTTCAGCATTTTATCTTACTTTGTACCATATACACCAAACTAAAGTGGAAGAGGATTTTCTTTTAATATATATTTTTTATATATTAAAATTTAAACTAACAAGAATCATACTTAATCGGACAACTAAAATTGTTAACAGAGAAATTATATCATGAAAATGGTTATTATAACAGTGTAAATGGTCAAAATTGCTATCATAATAAATATATTACTATTTAGGGATATAATAAATATAAATTTTTAAATTTTGGTAAGACTAACTCCTAGAAATAAGAACTGTTAAAACAAACTCAAACTTAGGATAGTTATTAGAATGAGTAGAAAACTTATAATAAATAGCCTTTATTATATTAATATACTATTTTTTTCAACTCCAATTCCATTGTTTTCCTTTTTCTTAACCAGAAACCATTTTGTACTCTTACTTATTTTCTCTCTCAAGTATCAACCCACCCTGGTTTCTCTGTCTGGGTTGGCTTATTGTTGATAAAACCTCCAACTTGGTTTCATTTTGGTGTCTCTTTGATTGACCCATTTTCATATTTTAATGGGGAAGAGGCATTTTGATTGAAGTTGGTTGTTCCTGTCATTTTTAGCTGGAAATCAATTTTAAGAGAATCTGAGGACAATAATTGTAAGCAAACAATCTTTATTTTTTTTTAAGAAGTGTGATATTCCTATTTTTTGTTTGTTCGCTGTATGTTTATTTGTTCACCGGGATTGTTTGATGGACAAATATAATATAAACAAATGTAATAAAGAAAATGAAAGTTTTGGACTGGATCTTATCCCGGCTTTCCCTTTTCCTTGTCTCCAATGATGCTTTTGACCTTCTAAACCAACAAAATGGCAGTTGCAAACTATTAGTAAATCATTTCATATTTTTGTACATATACATGTAGTTATTTATTTATTTATTTGCATTTCTTCTTCACACACCTAACTCTGCAATATTATTATTATTTATCTGATGTACATCGAATCTGGGACTATGCAGGGTGAAATTGAGGGTGAACTTTCAAGGTGGAAGAAAGCTAAAAGACCTACATCTCAAGTCATATTTATGTGTCTATGAGGTTCAGGGGAGATTGGGTTGGATTGTTTTGTTTTCTATTGAAATAGGAAGGACAAGATACTATTTATGTAGAGGAATCTTATGTGGAGGCTTCCTTCTAAGTGTTTTCGATAGTAGAGCCAAATAGTTGGATCCAAATCACACACCCCTTTACCTTTTTTGAAGCAGTTTCTTTTCGACTATTTTGACTTGATAGGTTATTTGAAGGTACAAAAAGCACAACAGCTAGTAGAGTGAAGGGTCTCCTTTCAAATCTCTCATCAAGCTGCAAGCAAAACAGTGTGCTATGCTGTGCAATCTTTCACTGCTTTGAATCTTGTCGGAGTTCAGAAAGCTTGAAGTGCATTTTACATTTTTAACTGAGGCTGCTGCATCGTCAATCTCTTGCTTTCTGATCAACAAAGGGGTATCTGATTCTTCCCGGATTTCATACTACTTTGGGGGCGTACTTGTAAAAAAAACAAGATTCTGTGAACGTTGGGGGAGGTTTTTTTTACTTTTGAATCTGTCATACTGATACAAAATACAAATGGTTTGAATTTGGTTATAAGAATTTGTCTCTTTTATTGCCCGGTGGAATGTACAAGCATGTTGGTGATAAGATAAATAATAATTATTGGGGTGGGACAGACTAATGATTGATAGATACTGAACGTCCTCTTGCGTTTCTCTTTCTCCTATATAGGAATTGTCAAGGCACATGCTTGGATGGTGGTTCAGAGTTGAATCTTTTAAGCAAGGAAGTTCTTGAAGCACTATTGTTGGTGCTGATGAGTCGTGAGCAACAGAAGCGGGGGAAGCAAGAGAAAGGTTCTGATGGTGCTGAGAAGGTCATTGTTGCCGTTAAGGCATCAAAAGAAATTCCAAAGACTGCTCTTGTTTGGTCCCTTACTCATGTTGTTCAACCTGGGGATTGCATTATACTGCTAGTGGTTGTGCCTTCACAAAGTTCAGGTGATTGTGATTCCTTTTTCGCCTGCATTTGATCTACTTTTGTGCTTCTTTTTCTTGCTGTGGATATTGTTTTTTCTGACAAATTGGAAAAATGGGGATTTGATTCCATTGATTTAGATGTGAGTATGTGACTTGGTCAGTGGTTTCTTTGGTATTGCATTTTGAAATTATGTCATGAATAATGAGTACATTCTTAATCTATGTTGGTGTCTTTTTTGTGGGAATTTGAACCTTGACCATTCTATTATGTGTAAATGACTGTTATTCTATTCATATGCAGGTAGAAGATTATGGGGTTTCCCGAGATTTGCTGGTGACTGTGCCAGTGGTATTAAGAAGTACCCTCCAGGAACAATATCAGAGCAGAAGAGTGATATCACTGATTCTTGCTCTCAGATGATCCTTCAACTCCATAACGTCTATGATCCAAACAAGGTTAGTAGCGTTGGTGCATAGAAGGTTCATGCAAATTGAATGTTGAGATCGTATTCTTATTCCAGTCTTTTCCCAACAGATCAATGTCAGGATTAAAATTGTTTCTGGATCACCTTGTGGAGCAGTGGCAGCAGAAGCCAAGAAAGCACAAGCCAATTGGGTCGTTTTAGACAAGTAATAGTCTCTCTTATCTTTTTCTCGTTGAGAAGCATGCTATTGTAACCATTAAACCTGATGATATCTACATTTTTGGTTTATTGTTTATTCTGTGATTTTAATTGAGTTTTTGTCGTTGGTTTGTGGTGTTGCCTTCTTTACAGACAGCTCAAACATGAGGAAAAGCGATGCATGGAAGAACTACAATGTAACATTGTGGTTATGAAGCGTTCTCAACCAAAAGTACTGCGGTTGAATTTGATTGGACATAAGAAGAAAGATGTTGAAGAAGCAGGTCCATCACCTTCTGAGAAAGATGACATGTCTGAAAAGCGAAGCAAAATAAAGCTTGATTCCTTAAATTCAATCAAAGGACCAGCTGTAACTCCATCTAGCAGCCCTGAGCTAGGGACACCATTCACTGCAACCGAAGCCGGTACTTCATCAGTTTCAAGCTCTGATCCAGGAACTTCACCTTTCTTCATCTCAGAGATGAATGGTGAGTCCAAAAAAGAGGAAACTATCCAGGAAAGTCAAGAGCTCGTTGATACTAATTCAGACACAGAAAGTGAAAGTCTGTCCACATCTTCAGCAAGCATGAGATACAAGCCATGGATCACAGAAATGCTTTTACATCAACAATCATCCCAACGCAATGAAGAGAGATCCGAGATATCTCATGGTATGCCTCAAGCATCAACAACCAGAGCTTTCCTAGATAAATATTCTAGGCTTGATAGAGGAGCTGGATTTGAAATCTCAACGTATAGAAATGACTTGGATTTCAGTGGAAATTTGAGAGAAGCAATAGCATTATCTGGAAATGCACCACCTGGTCCCCCTCCACTGTGTTCAATATGTCAACACAAGGCACCTGTTTTTGGAAAACCTCCAAGGTGGTTCAGCTATGCTGAGTTAGAACTTGCTACTGGTGGTTTTTCGCAGGCCAACTTCTTGGCTGAAGGAGGATTTGGATCTGTTCACAGAGGGGTTCTACCAGAAGGACAAGTCATTGCTGTCAAGCAACATAAATTAGCTAGTTCTCAAGGTGATCTTGAATTTTGTTCAGAGGTTGAAGTCCTGAGCTGTGCTCAGCACCGGAATGTTGTTATGCTCATTGGGTTCTGTATAGAAGATAAGAGAAGGCTACTAGTTTATGAGTACATATGCAATGGATCATTGGATTCGCATTTATATGGTGATTTCTCTTGCTCCTATACCAAATTATCTCATGTTAGAAACATATGTTGAATTGGCTTGAACTTAGTGAAGAAAACATTCAACATGCAATATTGTCCATAAACTGTCAATAATGTATCATTAAACAATTGGAAGAAAATCATATTTTGGTTTGTAAACGGATATGCCAACTATCATAGTATGTTAAACATCTTGATATTTCATGTTACATTCAGTGATATGAACATTGTGACTTGATTGAAAATTGATTTAATGCTGAAGAATATTTCAGGGCGACAAAAGGATACATTAGAATGGCCTGCACGGCAAAAAATTGCTGTGGGAGCAGCTCGTGGGTTACGATATCTTCATGAAGAGTGTAGAGTGGGTTGTATTATCCACCGTGACATGAGGCCAAACAACATTCTCATAACTCATGATTTTGAACCTCTGGTAGGTTACTGCTTTGCTTCCTCCGTATAATGAGTGTCATAGTTTGCATATTGAAAGACACCACTCCATTATTGAGTATTAATCTCTCTACAGTTTTTTGTCTCCCAATTTTCAGTTCACTAAAATAATTGTGCACTGCTTAATAAAACGATTTTCCAGTTTCCTACATATCACAATATGAAATGTGTGTTGAGGTGCATCAAATTTATGGTTCATTTTTTCAGAGTGTACTAATTGGGCCGAATTATGTTATGCAAGGTTGGTGATTTTGGACTGGCGAGGTGGCAGCCTGATGGAGACACAGGTGTGGAAACAAGAGTGATTGGAACATTTGGGTAAGTGTTTCTATTGACCTTGAATCTGTTTCATAGTTAAATTGTATATATATATATATATAATATGGGATTGCAACTTAGCTATGCTCTTTCTGTGTAGGTATTTGGCTCCTGAATATGCTCAAAGTGGCCAAATCACTGAAAAAGCTGATGTTTATTCCTTTGGGGTGGTATTAGTTGAGCTTGTGACAGGGAGAAAAGCTGTGGATCTCACTAGGCCAAAGGGACAGCAGTGCCTAACCGAGTGGGTAAGTTTAGAGTATGTGAATGTCTAACTTCAGTGGCTTTTGGATTGTTAGATGTTGACACCATTTCAAGAGAGTAAATAGTAACATTCTTGAGAAATATGACACTCCAAATCACAAAGAGAAAAGCTTGAATTTCTTTTGTTGTTTATGCCTAGCTTTTGCCTAACTGTGTAAACTTTTGGATATTAAACAGGCACGACCTCTGTTAGAAGAATATGCCATTGAGGAACTGATTGATCCAAGGCTTGCTAACCAATATTCAGAACACGAGGTCTATTGCATGCTGCATGCTGCCTCATTATGCATACAGCGAGACCCTCAATATAGACCACGCATGTCACAGGTAAAGGAAGTTTTGAGCCCTTTAATTTTCTTGCCAAACTTTGCTTGATCAGAAGAACAAACAATTGCATATATCTCTTAGAACTTTATGAATTTAAACAGTTATAGGTAAATATTCTGCAAAGTCTGTAGGAAAAGGCTAACTGCATGTCTTGCTAAAATGAATTTTAACATGTTCTTCAAAATATCAGGAGGCTTGTATAGTAATTTCTCACATGCATGCAGTGCACTTGCTTCTCAACTTGCCTAAGTTCCTAATATTGATCCTCTCTTCACTTTAGTATTGTGTGATCCTCTCAAGACATTTTAGTTTCAATGTTTTTTAGGAATAAATGATCCATTTGTGAACATGTGAAGCACTATCAATTTGGTTCTTGAAAAAAAATGAAAATCTACTTTAATCTTTGATTGTGTAAAAAATTTAAGTTGGTCTCCTTATTATGTAGTTTAATAATAAACAATCCTTGATTTACAGTCTATTTGATCTTTAGAAATATATTATAATGACAAATACAAAACTTTACAGAATGTAATTGCAAGATTGTATACACATTCAAAGACTAAAATAAGTATTTAGGGACTAAATTGATAGTGTTTTCTATTTAAGGATCAAGTTGATAAAATCTTTTAGTTATGTAATATGCTCATTGGTGAAATACTAAACCAAGTTTTGGCATATTTGTGATTTGTTTATTGAAGGTTCTCCGAATACTAGAGGGTGACATGGTGATGGACACAAATTACCTCTCAACGCCAGGCTATGATGCAGGAAACCGAAGTGGTAGACTCTGGTCAGAGCCGTTACAAAGGCAGCACCATTACAGTGGTCCCCTATTAGAAGAGTCTCTGGAGTGCTTCAGTGGGAAGCTATCCATTGACAAGTACAAGCCTTCGTATTGGGGTGATAGGGACAAGGCTAGGAGGGCCTCATGTGAAGATGACATTTGAATTGATTGATGATGAAGATTGCATGCTTGTTATGCTAAATATAAAATATGCTTGTTCCCCACCTATTTAGTTGGTTTTTTATTCCTTTTTCTTTGTTCAATGGGATCTAATTTTGCATTTGTATAGCAGAGTGAAAGTAGGATAGGTAAATATAGAAGCTTTTGAAGAATTTTCAGGAAATCCTGTAAGCTAGTCTCTATGATCTTCACTCTTCAAATCTCTCTCTTTGATCTATCATCTATATTATATTATATGCTCCAAAAACTATTTTAGTGTCATTTAATCTCCATGTAACACAAGACTGAATTTTTATTAACTTTTTATGTAAATTAAAAATTTTGATTATATGAATGCCACTTAAAAATTAATATGAACAATGGATGTCCTGGACCATTTACATTATTTCTTTCTCTTGTTCCAATACCCTTTGTGCATGAACATGCATGCATTGAGAAACATGGTCTGAGATTATCATGTGAACTAGCAATCATGACAACGAGAGCCAAATCAGGTAACTTTTTAAGGGTAAAATTGAAGTTCTGGTATTTCTGTTCAAATTTTCAAGCATGCAAAATCAAAACACCTTGGTTGGCTGATTATGACATGTTATTTTTTCTTCAACTCTTGACTTTTGTAGCATGTAAAACAAAATTTATAGGTTGGCTGATGGGGACAGAGCTGTGAGGTTCAGACATAATAGGATCAAGAGACATGTCAAGTGTCCTGTTTTCTGGTTATGTATTGGCAAGTTATAAACAAAGGGACGCCACACCTTATCCCGAGGATGACTCTGTCTGAGTCTTGTCCATATTTATCAACATCACCAAAAAACTTTACAGAATCCACAGTTTTGATTCTTCCAATAGAGGAATGCTATGTTGTGTATCATGACGATCAGATTCATTTTTTCCTTGTTATGAAATTCGTATTATGACAAAATTAGCTGTCATAATTAATTTGATGATGAAAGGATGTACCCTCCATGGAATTGATGTGCTAGCTTCAAAATAATTTCTTAGTCTAATAATCCAAATAAAGATATTATATTTAAAAGGAGCTTTTTTCAAACATGCATAATATGATTAATGAATAATTTTATTCTTTCAACATGTAGAAATTTTATCTCAAACTTGCAATACGAAAAAACATTTGTTCAAATATGTTTATTCTTTAAATGAATTTTAATATTGAGATTTTTGGGTTGGTAAAAAATATATAAGTTATTGCTTTCTATACCCTATAATTTCTCCGTACATCTTCATATCCCAAGTCAAATACTTAAAATACTTTTCTCATAATTTTGTTTTTTTACCATAACTTCTTCTTCCACTTGTGTACAACTTTTGCATCTCCATCCTTCAACATTTCCATCCCTTCACTATTTGATTCTTTTATACTATCATCTCTATTAAAGACTTTTTATAATAAAGGTAATTGTTAATATTATGTATGAATTATATGTTCCTGTATTCAAATTGCACAAATAGAACCCTTAATCTGAAATAGTGTCATGAAAATGAAGTTGAATTTTGAAAAAGGTAATCTGGAAATGCAATCCAGATTGGGTATTCTAGAATGTATTTTCACCAAAGTCAATCTAGAAATATATGTCGGATTGGATGTTCCGGAAAAGTCAATCCTAAAATATATTTTGAATTAGGTGTTCCAGAATGTATTTTCATATTAACTTTTTTGGAAATACATTCCGGAACACCTAATCTGAAATACATTTTCTAATTGATTTTTCTGGAAACTTATTTTGGAATCTTGAATATGTTTTCGAAAAAGGCCAATACGAAATGTGTTCCAAAAATGAAAATAAGTATAAAAATAAAATAAAGTTTAATTTAATTATAAGGATAGGATAAATTTTGAAAATACAAAAAGCAAGAGCTGAATATATAATCTCATGGTTGGGCCTATATGATGTAGGCCGAACAATTCAACTCTCCAATGCAGATTGACCAAAGAATAGGAAAGCCCTGAGCCATTGAAAAAGGATTGAAAGTTAGTCATTTTTATTTGCTTGTAACGCATGGGTAGAGACCCTAAGGTTAAAAAGAAAAAACTCAAATGATTGATCTCATATTAAGACAGAAAATCACTACATTTACATGTTTTGAGAACTATCAATTTAGTGAAAAAAGTTTAATTGTAAGTGAAATTAATCTTTTAATTTAATAAATTGAAAAAATTACTTATGAACAGAACTCACTGTTCAAAACAAGATCACAATTTTCTACACTAAAAAATCAAGTGACATTTTTTTTTTAATTTGGACAAATTAATCCAAATGAAAAAAAATAAGAAACCGGATTAATAATTATAAATTATAAATAATAAATAACCGGATTTGTTCACTCATGTTTGTTTCAACGGTGTGTGATTGACGTGCACACGCTTTAAGATACGCACTCCCTCACTCAGTCCCTCTCTTTGTGTTCTTTTGGCGCCAATTTGTTGTTGGTTAAAAGCACATGAAAAGGAAACCCTTGGATTGAATCGGCATCAAATTTGAAAGAATCAGTTGTCGGTAGTGAATTCAATCAATGGCTTCAAGCTCTGGTGCGGAAGGAGAATCGCTGGACGATTACGATTCCTTGATTGCAACCACCGATGTGGAGCTTCTGAAGCGCGCGTGGCGGAACGAGAAGGCAGCGCCCGAGATTCTCCGCTTCGAATCTCATTTGATTTCCCGCGTCAAGGAGCAGATTCAACTCATGGTATGCAACTTCTCACACCTCAAAACCTAACCAATATTCTTTGGGCTCCTAATTTTGATTCACTCACTTGTTTGTTTCTGTTTGTGCAGGAAGAAACCGTGGAGGAGAAATCCAGTGGCGGTAATGACCCTCTCTCAGTGTCTCTGTATCAGATGGACTTGGACAGAACCCTCTTTCTGTTGAGATCCTATCTCCGCATCCGCATCCAGAAGGTAACCACCAAATCGATTCCGTTATTTAGCCTTTTAACTCTCAATTGCATCTTTAGGTGTCAAATTCCTTCACATTGTGGGAAATTATGGACAAATTGGACAAAAGTTTTTCAACAGCGTTCTTAATTGTGGCCGTGATGTTAACATATATATATATATATATATATATATATATATATATATATATATATATATATATATATATATATATTTACGTTTCTACAATCGAAATTTTGGTGGTAATGTTAAGGTTCTTTTAAGTTTCTACAATTGTGACAGCATCAGTCATATTTTGTTTGCGATTTCCCAAGGCAACGAAATCCCAACTGTAATTGTCTGTCAGTGCAGTTTAAAACCTTGAATACGACTGATGAGTCTGGGTCGGAATGTGGTAGTGGCGACAGAAATAGCAGTTGCCGACAGATTTGAAAACCCTGAGTGCGTAGGGATTAAGTAAAAAAACTCCGAACGAGTGAACAGTTAATTAACCTGAAGTTTTAGAATGGCGGTATGAATCTTGCACTAACTACACGTTTAAATGAACATCTTTATAAATAATTTTAGAAGAAAAAATGAATTAAACTTTTTCGAAAATTAAACTTAATTTATACCCAAGATAATTTTGTAGAAACTCTTTCACGTTAGTTTATCTAAAATTAGATTTTTAACTTATGTTAACCCAAACATAACTTAGATCTAAATTGAATTTTTTACGTGGACTCTCTTTTGCCAGATATTTTATCCCTAATAATAGTTTTGCGGCTGTCAATTTTTACTAGCTGAGTACCTGTATAATAGGTTAAAACAATTAGGGTATGTATTAGTTGCTGAACTATTTGAATGCTAGCCAAATTGGAATTTGACTTGATTAATTGCTCTGTTCATTGGATTGTTTTATGTTTTATTTTATTTACAACTATGTTTTTATTGTAGATTGAAAAGTACATGTTCCACATCTTAAAAACTGAAGAACTTTGGAACAGGCTATCTAAAGACGAGAAAGATTTCGCCAGAACGTAAGGCTATCCGTTACATTATTTTTTGTTTTGATAATTTGTTTTCTGACTAACTAGCAATGCTTGTAACTGACTGCATTAAAGCGTACTTGAAGTGGTTTTTGAGTCTAATTTTCTGGATGCAGGTGTTCAAGTGACCTAAACCAACATCTGGAAGAGACTGTTCTGTCGAAGTTGCCAGAAAATTACCAGTCTGTTCTGAAGCAATCCATAATAAGTGAAGAGGATGACATGGGTAAAATTTATTTTCTTTAGAAGTTAGAAGAGAATTTAGGTTATTTTGTTTCATTACTTCTTTCTGATCATTGTGTGTCCGTCTGAGTATTCAAATTGGCTCTTCCTGAAACTCACGTCTGTTATGAGGTCAAGTTTCATATCTTTTTTGTAGCATGAAATAATTTACATTTCTTGATTGAGAAGTCTGACAATCAGTTTTGTAGTGGTTTTCTGATTAATTTGGCCTTCATGCTTGTAGCTTTTCTTGTGGTATCCAGTTATCTAAAATAAGATTGAATATTAATTTTCACATATTTGACCGAAAGTTATTTTTTTGAAGTTCTTCAAACCCTTGTATAGTGCTCCATTCCATTCATTATTGGAGTTAGAATATATGAAAACCTACAGAAATGAAAAGGGGGTTATATTTTTCCACGTGTCAAATTATTGTTCTTTCAGTTACACTTAAATCATTTTGTTTAATTAGCCATCTTATTAACATTGAATGGTACTTCATTATAGAGAACTACTGTATTTTTTCTCTGGTCACAAAATCGCACACATACATGATTTAGTATCATTTGGATGGTGCTAAGGTAAGGTTGCTGATGGATTCTTTTCTGTGAAGAACCATGTTAGATTTAGAGTGGCTTCTCCCTCATCTTCCCTACTTACGTTTTCTCTTTTGCTAAGTGATGTCTTATATTGCTTTGGCTCCGGTTTACATCAAATGATCATGACAACTATTTTGTTTGTATATTTCAGTACCAGAACCACAACTAGACACATTTGTTTTATGTAGAAGTAAAGAGTATCTCACGGGCATTCAACTGGAAGATGGACCAGCTGATGACAGGCAATTCTCGTATTCTAGTATGAATTTATTCTGTTGTTTTGTAAAAGGCTAAAAAGTAGTTTAGTTGGTTGTTCTGGCAGGTCGAAGCTGTTTGAGATGGAGCGAGGTGTCCTCCACTTCATTTGTTACAAATCAATAAAGGCACTAGTAGAGAGTGGCAAACTTGATCTACTCTAATAAGTTTACAGCTTTGGATGATGCAGATTTCTTTTTCTTTTTCAATTCTAGTCTAAGGTGCTAACACATGTTCGTTACGCAATAGTAGTGCACCCGAGTTTGTCAAATTCAATCGTCTATCTTTATTCAGTTGTTTCGACTATATCAATATTCACTTGGCTACTGCAAAAAAATTGTGATCAATGCTCGGCAATAATGATTTACTATGGAATTTTATTCAAATCTAATAATAATATACAATATTAAAGTCAACACACATTCAAGACTAACCTACAGAGAAAGTTTCGTTTCAAATTAAAATGACCTCTCAGAAAAAAGTGTATTTTTTATTGGAAAAAATAGCATAACTAAGCATCTAAGAGAAAAAAACAACTGTATTTTCCATTTTACTATGTGGTTCACATTTTCCATAGAAATATATGCAAAATGGTGTTACTGCCGAAGGGGAACATGTTATGCAAGCTTCTGATACCAAATGGAAAAACTTTAATTCCAACGCAGTACATGGTTTCAGGCATAACTATCAGAATGTCCACTCCCAATCTTCCCCACTATGTTTCAACTACATTATATCAATACAACCATATTATCAGGATACCGTCTAACTTTCGTTTTCCCTAGTGCTTCCTCATTTTAGACCTCGCGTATCTAGAGAACACAAGACAAAAAAGAAAAGAGTAAAATTAGAAAGATGAAGTATCATAGCAGAATAAAATTAACAGAACTAATTCCGTCAGAAGATACTCTATGTGCATGCCACCCCGATCTGATGATGGAAGCAAGCTTCCCTGAAGCTCCTCCACGACCTTAGCAGCTTGATCAATTTCCTGTCAAAAGATGGAAGGTTGACAAGATAATCAATAAATGAGAAAAAATCCAGCGCAAAGTTATAAAGAGCGATAGAGACACTCTTTTACACATTTTCTACCGCACACTGTTATAGAACATTTCTTAAAAATTAAGAAAAATCCTCACTAAATAACAAGTGAAAGCCAGAATTTATATTCACAGATATGGTATGCTTAAATATACTTTGTTGGCAATTCAATGAAGAGCGCAATTCAACGATGGCACCTATGGTTTCTAGCTAGAACTGTGCCAGAATTTCTATTCACAGATATGGTATGCTTAAATATACTTTGTTGGCAAATCAATGAAGAGGGCAATTCAACGATGACACCAATGGTTTCTAGCTAGAACTGTGACTTACCTCAAAATCAGCAAATGCAACTGGCATTCCTCCTCTAGAGCGCATTTTGACCATGTTGAATCCAGAATATCTGGAAAAATGGATTCAAGACATAAAGTTTAATGATCAACACATGTAGACGAAAAACATTGCAGGATTTCGATATAACAAGAATCAGCTTGTTCAGCACTGCTCCAGTCAATAATAACACCTGAGGCCCTTAGCAGGTTCATCAACAAGAGAGGAGTAACTCACACAGAAAAGGCCTGCTTCAATTCATCTTCAGTGCAGTTTGGGCCAAGATTTGCGATAAAGAGAGTGGAACACAGTCCTCCAGCACTTCCTTTATGATGTTGCTCCTACACAGCCAATTTGAAAAGATTGCATAGTACAAATGTTCTTTATGGGAAAAAGCAAGCAACACCTATTACAAACTATACAAATTTTAATCTATTTGTTGAAACACAGAAGAAAATTACTTGTATTCTATGTGCAACATTTAAAGAAGAAAACAATACTGGATGGTTTCTACAAATGTAGTAAGCAGAACAGTTCCAACTTATTTATGTTTTTAACTTTAACTTACCAAGGGTATAGCGTTGTCAGAAGCAACAGCCGTTTCATCACTGCATACAAGTAGAAATGTTATAGACTTTACGCACCACTAGAATATTCAAAGTACTGGTATAATTTTATCAATCAGTTTTTGTTTGCGGAACCAATTAGCAAAATTTTAAACTGAGGTAAACAGTTGGTCAAATTTATTGTACTCTCAACCTTGCTATGATTGGTAGATCACCATGGTTGCCGTCACTGTCTGATGGTTCATCAGGGTCACTGTCACCTAAATGTGAAAGATGTGCAAGTGAGAGTGAGTAGCGGACACAAGAGGGGCAAGAATGTGAAACCAAAGTTCATTGCACTGAACCTCTCCCCTTTTCCCTTTCTTATCTCACCCATGCCATTTAAATTAAAAGAAAAGGACAGTTAGCTATGGGTGCATACAAGAAAATAGCAGCAAGCTAGATCATATTTCAAAATACAACACTCACACTTCGCCTTGAACTAAGTAAAGTAGCATTACCATCATCACTTGATGATCCCTGAACATCAGGCTCCCCTTTGGACCTTTTATCTATAACCACGTAGGCTCCATTACCTGTGAAAAGTAAAACAAACTGATTTCCTCCAGAATTCATCAAAGGAGATAAATAAAAATACATAAATTGGGGGAAAAAAGGAAGAAAAGTTACTTGAAAGAATGAAAGTGGAAAAAAATAGTGTAGATATCTAGATGAAGATGTTACATATGAATTATAGCTTGATGATACTTTCATTTTTTATTCCTGCTTTTCTATTTATCCCTAGTCATGCATGCATAATATCTCCACATACATACCTGGTTTTCGCTTTCTCCTAGAGTTTGACCTGGCAAGTTCAATATGTAAAACGGATCCAGTTTGAGGATCAAATTTCACACCCTGGTGAGAATCATAAACCAAAAAAAGAACTTAGATAGAAGACCAATTACTATAAACTGCAAACATCTTTCCAATAAAATATAATTAATTCTTAGAAGGTGAACTTTCAGTCTAATTCAACCTGATAAATTTGGTTTGTAAAATAAGGTTTTAATTCATTTATATACTATAATTTGATCTTATTTTTAGGTGACGTGGATCTCTAGCAAAGTTCTTTTCACACTCCATAAAAAATTTCACCAACTTGCAGGATTTTCATTTAAGCACGTACATGAGAGCAATTTACATTTAGTCCAAATAGTAGAAGCTGATACCAAAATGTTCATTCCATGGAACAAATAACTGTATCATCATCAAATTAAACTGTCACTGATTAAAATTTGTCCATAAGCACTTATAGGAAATAAAAAATAAATTAAGTTTCTCCCAAAGCTTGTGCATAGGTTAAAATAAATAAAGAGCTTCTACAATTAACTTCTACATAAACTCATTTAGCTAATAGGATAAGTTAATTTCGTTTTTATTTCTCTTATGCACAAGTTTATCCAAACATGAGGTAAATTCCTAACCCTAACTTTCATTATGGATCATGCTATTCGAAGCCAGGTACTTACATTCAAGGCGTGTATCGCTGCCATTGCTGATTGGTGGTTGAAAAACGTGGCAAACGCTACGACCTGAAAGGGAAAGTGAGTTTTGATTCCATATATAAAGAATTCACGCGAATGTCAAGAATGCATTAGTTAGAAGTAGATAGGCACAATTGAGGAGAAAGAGAGGGAGAAGGAGAAAAACCTGGTTGGCGCGACCGGTGTACTTGAGTTGGCAAGAGTCGAATCCGGGGCGGCGGCGGAAGAGGTTGTGAATCTCACGCGCCTTCACATCGTCCGGTAGCCCCGACACGAAGAGCGTGTTGATGTTGCTCCGATCATCTTGTTGGTAGAGGTAGTACGGATCGAAAGGCGGCTGAGCCATACGCTCCGTCTTGTGCGGCGATGGTAGACGCCGGGGAAAGTCCACGAAGACGATAAGGGCGAAGACGGCAACGGAGAAGACCGCCGGGGGTAGCTTTTGTTATGTACAGGCGTCCTTTGGTTTACATTGCTTTTCCAACTCAAGAGTGTTGTTAATCAAGTAAGAATATATATATATAAATATATAATTTGTAATTTTAATAATTTTTTCGTAGTTATATCTGTACTTTAAATTATAATTAAATAATTATTAATAATTTTTCATATTACATCTAAATTTAAAAAAAATAAAAAATAAAAAACTGATCATGCACGAATTTTTTACTAAAATAATATTACTATATTATATAAGGAATAGAACTTATCATAAAATTATTTATTTAACTGAATTTTTTATTAAATTATTTACTTAACTTAACCTTTTGGTGTTGTACTTAGAATTTGGTTTCTCCTAAACTGAATTCCAACTTTAAACTTACTACTTTTTTTAAATAAAAATTAAATAAAATATATAATTAAAAGTAATATTAAAAAGAAAAATTTAACTTTAAAATTGAAATAATATTCTTATAAAAAATAATAAAAATAATATATTATTTAAATATATATATTAAATTATTTAAATATATTTAAATAATTATTAAAAATAATAAATAATATTTTTTTTATTTTATTTTTGAATAAGAAATTTAAAATTTATATATTTTTTTATTATATGAATTATTTAAGTTATAATTTTAGAAAAAATTGATAAATTTAATATATAAAATATTAAAAGTAAAATTAAAAATAAGTTATTAGTAGCAAAATAAAAATTATAGAACATAATATTAAAAGAAAAATAATAAAGGTAGAAATATTTTTATAGAGTGAAAATAATAGAGGTTTCCATAAATTTCTCCCGAAATTCAAGAACAACTACACCGACGAAATCCAAAACGTAATGGATGTTGTGGAACTGGACACCATTTTTTAGATTAAAATTTTCTTAACATTATTATCAATAATTTTATTTTTCAATTTTTATTATCAATAATTATGTTATTTTTAATATTATACATTAAATTCTGTCAATTTTTATTATTTTTTATTTTTAAGTTTATTTTATATTAATAATAATAATTTCTAACTGATTAAATAATATTTTTACTTTATTATTTAAAAAAAATTAATTTTAGCATGATTTTTTTAATATAATATTTATAATTTATCAAATAAAAGCTATTACATAAATTTTTATAATATAATATTTAATTTTTTAATATATTACCTAAATTAAATTTTTATTTATTCTATTTTTTTCTAAAATTATAACTTAAATAATTCATATAATAAAAAATATATAAATTTTAAATTTCCTATTAAAAAAAATATATATATATATATATATATATAAATATAATAAAAAAATATTATTTAATATTTTTAATAATTATTTAAATATATTTATATATATTTAAATAATATAATATATATTTAAATAATATATTATTTTTATATAAATATTATTTAAAATTTAAAATTAAAATTTTATTTTTAATATTAATTTTATTATTTTAATTATATATTTTATTTAATTTTTTTATTTTAAAAAAAATGGTAAGTTTAAAGTTTGAATTTAGTTTACAAGAAACCAAATTTCAAGTACAACAATAAAAGAAGTCTAGTTAAATAAATAATTTAATGAGAGGTTCAGTTAAATAAATAATTTTATCATAGCTTTTGTTATATATATATATATATATATATATATATAATATTATTTTAATAAAAAAGTCGACCATGCATTGTTATTATATAATATATATATATATATATATATATATATATATATATATATATTTTGAAATAAAATTTAAAAATGCTTGTATTAATTTAGTATACCAAAAATGTGAAAAAAAAATATTTATTGCATCTCATCAATTAAAATTATATTTCAAGGGATTCTTATTCTTATTTATTACATTTTGATTTTATTATTTATTCATTTTATTTTATTATTAATAGTAAATTTAATTAAACCTCTCAATTTTAAAGTAATAATGTGATTACTTTTTACATAATTAACAATAAAATTGTTAATAAATGATTTTGAATTATTTCAATTTCAATATAATATAATTTTGATAACATAATTAACGTTAAAAATATGATATTATTATATTTTTTTAAAAATTGAGATACTTATTCAAGTTTGACAGAGTTATTATTTTAAAGTATAAAGATTTGATTCAAAGTTGTATAAATATATCAATAAAATTGAACAAAATAATTCGATTAGAAAATACATTATTTAAAGCGTTGTCGCGTAGCGGCGCCCTATTAAAGACCCAACGACGCCGCATAATTTCCCTCCCAAAACCAATTTCATATTTCAGTTAAACCAATTTTGATGCCACATCAACACAAAGTTAGAACAAGATATGAAAACAGAGGAGAATAAATGGATGCAACTACAATCATGCAAACTAGAACCATCATCTTCCAAAAAAATAGAATAAAAAACCATAAAACTGAACCAAATCTACATTAAATAACCATTTTCTTTCTCCAAATTCAACAAAAAAATTATACAGAAAACAAAGAATCAAGCAGCACCAGCCAAGGCGGCGGCAGCTTCTTCCTCTTCCCCCAAGAACAGATCCTCCGTCCTCCGGAACGCGGCGTGGGCCACCACCACCACCACGGCGACGGCCACCGCCACGAGGATGTTGACGGTGGCGTCGGTGAGCAGCAGCAGTGCTACTGTGAGGACGGCCATGGCGACGAGCACGAGGCGGTCATCAACGAGGTGGCCGAGAAGGATAAGGGGCTCGTCGCGGAGGAAGTAGAGGAAGAGCCATGCCGCCATGAGGAGAAGGAAGACAATGAGCGAGATGGGGTGCCAGAGGAGGCTCAGGAAGAGAATCAGCAGGGCCACCATTGCGTAGTTCATGCGGAAGTACGACACGTTCACCGCCACGCGCGACAGCGCCTCCGCCGCGCCGCGGCCGGGGACCTTGAGCGACCGGAAATTCAGCATGGCCTTCCACGGCCGCCGCGTCCCCAACCCCGCCTTGATCCGCTGCTTGGCGCGCGATATGTATTCCAGGTTCGGAGGCCCCGAGGTTGGGATCGTGCCGTAGGTTGTTGTCATGTTTCAGTTCAAAGTTGATGCTTTTGTTAGATCTTATGGTTTGTTACTGTTAATAACCTTTGAGAAGAGAAGGAGAATGTGATTCTGTGAGTTACACTGTGAAATGGTATCTGGGTTTGATAATTATAAGAGGGGTTGGGTCCTACTCATTTGTGACTTTGTTGATGTTTTTCACAAGGCTGGTTGAATTATTATGGGATGATTGGGTGTATCATTTGATGTGAATTTGGTTTGAGCTAGTGGATTTGCATTTGGTTGTGGGTGAGTCCAAGTTTATGATGGACAAAAAGGGGTGGAGGATGGTGTAGGTTCCAAAAGAGTGAAGACATAGTTATTTGGAAGAAGGTTGATGTTGGTTTCTTCCTTGGTTGTAACGAGAGGTGAGAAATCTAATCTTGCACTTCAATAGTTACTACTTTGTTGGGAGATATTTAACTTAACAGTGTTTAATTTGATCTCACATGAAGTGTGATGAAAGTCGGGTGGTTGAAGAATGTGAAAACAGAGAATAGTTTAGCGGTAAAAGAAGATGATTGTAGAGTAGAGGTGAGAAACAAGATGATATATTTTTGAAGCCCATGTTTCATGTAAAACCAAGTTGTTGTTTTGTATTTGTAGTTTTGCACATGACAGAGACTAAAAGTAGGAAGGTTATGAATTTATTTTTTATTTTATGAGTGGAAGGATGCACATAGGCATGGCAACCGGTGGTGGAAGGTTTTGCCTCCCCTGTATCCTTCTCTACTTTTTTTAACCATTTTCGTTATTGTCGGGTTTCGGTTCTGTCTCTAATTTATATTATTTTAAAAAAATAATTATATTTGTAATAAATTAATTTTATTATATATTTTTAATATATAAATAAATATTTATAATTTTATAATTATTATTAATTAAATATATATTTTAATTTATTATATTTATATTAAAATATGTATGTAAAAAATATTTAATTATTTTTTATTTATATATATATATATATAATATTTATAATATTATTATTATTATAACACTATTTTGAATACTTATAACATTATTATTATAATACTATATTCAAACATTTAATTATATACATATAAGTTAATTTATTTTTAAATTTGTCATTTAAAAATATGAAATATATAGTTTATAAAAAAATATTTAATAAGTTAATTCTTATTTAATTAGATTGAAGTAATAAAAGTTTAAATTATCAATTTCTTTTAATTCTTTAAAATATAATTATTTCATTAAGATAAAATTTGATATATGATAAATGAGAATAATAAGATCAACAAATATGACATAATAAAATCTAATAAATATAAATTATAAATAAAATAATATTAGTTATTACTAAGATTTATGTAAAATATTTAAAAAATGATAAAAAAAATTAACTTTGTGTTTATCAAATTGATTAAAAAGATTGAAAAAAAAATTGACGAGAGAAATTAAAAAAATATGAAAAATAAAAAGGTAAGATAGAGAATAATATAATAAATTAATTGATATAAAATATAAAAAAAAATAAAAATAAAAGTGAGTAGATGAAAAATAAAAATTAGTGAAATATTAAAAAAATATCTTATATATAATAAAAAAAATACATTTCAAGTATTAATATTTTAAATAATAAAAAAAACATTTCAAGTATTAATATTTTAATTTTTAATTTTAAATTTAATTATAAATTCAGAACGGGACAATCATTACATTATTCGTTCCCGCCCCTGCCTCGATATTTTAAAGCCGGGAAAGCCACCCCAAAACTGGAGATTTTCCGTAAAACTCATAACTGATGTCATCCCTATTCCCGCACTTCCAGCTAATCTTGAAAAAGGGATCAGTGGATAATTCAGACCACACTACACTCTGTAGGGAATAGGGACGGCAAATCATAACGCCATGACAACCTATTAACGACTTACGAAGGGTCCACGACAGCAAGGCCATTGTTTCCACGTTGGATTCTCCGATAAAGTTGTCAAAATCTTTGATTATGCTCTTTCTTTTGGTTTTGTTACATATTTATTATTTTCTTTTTCTGTTGATCCAAAGCAGACAACCTTCACAACAATCTCTTCCTACTTCTGTTCAAATATAGTTCTTTATCACCCTTCATGTTTAAAATACAAAGTTATCCAAAATTGAAGTAAATTCATCACTGAACATTTCTACTGATATAAATAAATGAATTGATATAAGTAAACATAATTATAACATACAACAAATTGATATAATGGACTAGTGTTCGTGTGACCCATTTGATCAACGAGTATTATGCAGCTAATCACTAGATAGAGGTTGTTTTTGCTACATTATTGGTGTCTATATTGTGGGAAGAAAGCTTTTGCAACCCTCCATGTGGATTGGAACCAGCAACTTTACATTGAAGGGGAAGCCTCAACTGATTCTCCGTTGGTTCTTAAGCCAAGGCTCAAAGTCATCTATGGTAAGCCCCACCCCATTAGTGTCCTATACTTGGTAAGTCATTTTTATTTCTTCCCCCACTATGATCTCCAACAATAACGAAAATTTTAATTTGATTTTGTTAGTGTAAAAAATTGTACGGGATTGAAAAGAAAGAGATGAATCAGAATTGTAGAAGTTATTTTCACTGTTGCCTTACTTAAACAAAAGATCTCTACATGTATTTTTCTATAGTTCAATATAGTTGTATTAGTTAAGAGATTTAAGCAGCACAAGATCTGTCATGCAATAACTATGATTACATGATCTTATTATGTTTAACATAACATCATCTACATTTATTCTACAGTATGATGCATTGATACTCAGTTTAACTATTAAGGTAAATACATGTCCTGTGAAGAAATTCAAATTCATGTTCTCAACTGAGACTAAAGTTTTCTTTATTTCTTGTAGGATCACCTGCATATTTTATTGCTGCACCAAGTAGCTAGAGTACCATGTTTTAATGAGCTCATGCAAATGGTTTGTTGGACTCAACCTATATATCACTCTCAATTTTTAGATGAAACAGATTAGTATTTTGAAGTGCTTATTTTAAGCTTGAATACTGAAGACATGGAACTTGAATTTCTGTTGTAATCATTTTTAGCACTACTGAAAGGAAAAAATCAAATATTTTTTTTCCAATTCTTTTTCATGTCTCCCTCCTTCCTGCTTGAATAAGATTGGTATATTACTAATATCTATGGTTGGATTTAGACTGGTATTTGAGAACCAAAAAGTTATCCTTACAGCAAAGAAGGCAATAAGAAAGGATGTGCTTTCCACATCAAGAAAATGAGTTGCAAACTTTGACCAGTTGATGATGAGTGAATAATTCTTTTAGGATAACTTTTTGTGGAATGAGTAGTATGTAAACTATTTTAATAGATATAAACACACTTCTATTCCAATGATGTTGCTATGTTCAAGCCTTTATGGCATTGAAATCTAGAAAAACAACATATAAAATGCAGAGAAAAGAAAAAGAACTTGAACAAAGCCTCAATGTGAAGAAACAAGCATAAATTCAAAGCACAACACAGTTGTCACTGATAAAAGATGAAGTAATTTTTTTTTCATCATAACAAGTGATGCATAACTTATAATTAGCTTTTCCTAACACCAATCAATTACGAGATTATAAAGACTCTGTATAGGGTAAACAAATTACATCTGAAGGCAACAACTAAATAAAGGGACAAAATACTTACTGGCATTTTGCCAAATAGGTGATGGACATTTGAGACTGAAGATTAAAAATATCCTCAAACCAAAACTAAAATGATTCCTCCTTTAAATTAGAACACCAACCAGTTACACTGAACGAATTTCCAGGAGCATGATACGGATATAACATAACATGGTGTATTAATATTTAAATTTGAACCACATAAAACCAACTCCAGAAAAGGAAGAGTATATATGCATCATGCATATTTCAGAGACACTATTTTATATCTTGAATTGCTTTTTAAGACAGATTCCAACACCAACAATTATTGAATGTCATTACTGAGATTTATTATCAAGAAGACGATAAACAGGTTTATAAGTTTGAATCTCGCTTGAAGTGAAAATTTTGTTAATAGATGTGTGTGAATATTATAGCTGTTATAACAGTAAAACTTCACACACGATTTAAATGAAAAGGCTACGAAATCTAAGTGTGTAAACAACCTACATGTCATAGAATTTAAAAAAAAAAAGAAAAAAAAATCTTAACATATCATATCAATAGTTAAAAAATAAATAAAACAACTTTAAAAATAAAACAACTTTAAAATGAAAAAAAAAAAAATTTCTTAGTAGGTTTTGGATTGATTTGGTGATAAAGGTTGGAGTTGGACAGAACAGAAGGGTCCAAAATTATAATGATAAAATTGAATCTGGATAAGCATTTAAAAAAGAAAAACAAAAAATTAATAAATATTACAAGATTTATTATTTTCAAAAGAAATAGATTTTTAAGTTCTTGAACGAATCATCAAATATAATTTCTATAAACTTTAAATATCTCAAAATAATAATATAATTTTTTTGTCATCCCTATCATTTAATATATTTTATTCTAATCACTTTTAGTTTTTAATTTTTTAATTGATTTTACTACTATTTTAACGAGAAATCAGTCTAAAAATTAATTTGTTGCTTTTTCAATTTTTAATTAAATTAAAAAAAAATTAAAAAAATATGATAAATTTGATATAATTGAAAAATTGATTGAGTTTTTAGGTGAAAGAAATTTTAGTAAAAAAAAAAATTAAGATCAAATTTTTAATATAATTTTTTATAAAAGATATAATATATTTTCATTTTTTTAACTACATCAATTCTAAATAATAATTATTATATCGTGTTTTTATTTTATTTTAATAATTATCTATTGTATATTCTCTAATATATTTTATATTTTAATTATTTATCTTTTATTATTTTCTTTTCTTTTATAGTTATCTAATATATTCTCTAATAATTTTATTTTATATTATCTAATATTTTCTTTTATTGTCTAATATATTATCTAATATTTTCTTTTATATTCT